TCAATTATGATAAATTGATTTTACGTTTATTTACGCCCATCAGTGTTTTATATCGAAATCAAATAACATTTATTATTGTATACATTTCCAAGGTGTTATAACTATGATAGTTTGTTATTTAGTAACGTGACAATAGCTTCATAAACAAATTAAAACCATGATAGTAGGTAGGATAGTAGACAGGTGGTCGTTTAGTTAAACACTAGTCTTGGATAAACATAAAGGGCCTGACATACATAAAGAAAACAATGTTTGTGGAAGATCAAAGAAACTTGATCAATAAAGCATCAAGATAGAATGTAAACGTATGTTAACTTTAGTTTTATAATCGTAACAAGGATTAATTAAATTTATTTCATTACACTGACGTATAATATGAGTAACGGATTAGTATGAAAAAAAACTGATGAGCAAATAAGTTTTTATTTTAATGTGTGATAAGATCAATATTTATAAAAGGGAACTAGTTTAAAGTATATATTTTAGACCATAAATGTTAAGTATTGTCTATGTTTGATCAGTTACCGTTGATATTTATCTAAAGTATTCTTATGTAATCACTTTTAATAAACTTAAATACTATTATGTGCCTAAATAAATATCTTTTGTTTGTTACTCTAAATTATCTAGGTTCACAAAATTGATTAGTTTCCTAATTTAACTCTTTCGGTAAAATAAATACTGAATAACCAGTAAGTTTATTTTTGACGCTTTCAAATATTTACTTCAAATCTTTCTTTAAGTATATACTTTACTGATAATAAAACTTTCCTCAGGTTATTTGAGTATTGTATTTCCTACTGACTTGATAGTAGTCAAGCCGTTAGTGAGGAAAGAGTACCTATAACTAATACAATCCTTTATCTGTTCTCATTAATGAGCAATTTCTTAACATGACACAATCCATCGTTTATACTTTCAATCAAACTGAACTTTCAAGTCTCTTATTGTTGTTCCATAAATACTTCAGATTTAATCCACTTGAGAAACTGAATCCCTACATTTTTTAAGAACATCAAGATAACTTAATATTATCAACAATTAATATCGGGTAAACTTTTGATGAAATAAAGATGCATAACCCACATGTTAGATGAAAGTCCGAAAGTGGTTTCTTTCGCAAATAAAACTTCACAGGTTATTAGTAAACACGCTTTCAGTTTATTAATTGAGAATGAATGAATTTTTAAGATATTACTGAATCCACTTAAATGTTTAACTAACACTTGTAATTTGCTTTAAACAATATTTGTGACAAAAACTCTTTGATTTAGAGTGAAATTTAAACATCGAAATGAAAACAAGCTTAATGTTAACACACATAGAATCTAATATTTTCGCCAACGACACCAAACCACGAATTCCGCTTAGATTTGTAGATGATACCTTTGTTTTCATTAAAAAAACTCATCTAAGATCTTTTTCGAAATGGATCAATACACTTTCATCTCATATCAAATTTATGAACGAGAATGAAAATGAACATGATGAGCTACCATTTTTGGATTGCTTAGTGAAAAGAAATCTAGATGTAATTCTAAATCTATCTATCTACCGAAAACCGACACACTCAAATCGTTATACTGACTTTGTAGTGACCTACTTTTATCATGAGAACGCGATTGGTTTAATGGAAACAATTATTATCATAACGAGTTGTACCAGTGATTGTTTTACTGTGCTTGTTTGCTTAGCTGTACTAAGAACATACATTTTTCCGTCGATTGTGACCTTGCACGAATTCGGTTATGCTCAGTAACCACACTTGTACTCTTTTGGCACGATCTCGGTATTCTTTCGATACCACGAGATCGCCAACAGATATATCTCGACTACAGCCATCAACTGCCTTCTGATATTTGGCTTACGGGGGATCTTATCGGTTAACTGGCACGTAGTCTTCCTGTAGTGGTGATCATAGTCAACCGCGACACGATGCCACTCTACAACTTCAATTCATCACATCTATTCAGTGCAAAGATCTCGCTAGCCCTAATTCTTTTTAGAAGAGCTAACAAAATTATCACATCGGAAGAGGACAAAAAAGAACAAAAGCATGTAATTAACATCTTACAATTTAATAATCTTGATATGAAGACTATTAGAAGTGTATTAAAACGAGATGTTTCACTGATAAATAATAATTCGAATGAGATACCATGGTTCAGTAGTGCAGTTTTACCATACTACCATGATATGACAGAAGAACTCCAAAGAATTTTAAAACAGCACAGAAATAAAGTATAGTACAAAACAACGAACACACTTCGAAATACTTTAGTTTACTTAAAAGAACTCTCCTTTATGCCAACACAGAACTGTGTTTACAAATTAGGACGCATCGATTGTGATGCCTTCTATATTGGAGAGTCATCTCGCGAAATCTTTTCTCGAGGCAAAGAACATATTAGGTACTCAAAGAAGACACTTGATAATCCCGTAGAACTGGATAGACTTGAAATTAAATCGGCAATAGCAGTTCACGCTGTTTTCAATAACGACTAAATCGATTTCAAAAAATATCAAAATATTACAAAACGTTTTTTCTAACTACAAAGAAATGACAGTAGCTGAAGCTTCCCATAAAATGCTTAATCCTACTGTTCTCAATAGAAAAGAAGGCCTTACTATTCATCCTAATTGGACTATCTATCCTAGCCACCTAGTCTGATATTATTCACATTTCACACTATTATCGTACAAACAAATTAAACTCTATCCTTTCTCATCATAAAGGTCACACACTTTTCATCCTTAACAGTGCACACTTACATATAAGCAAATTTACATACATGTCGTTTATGAATCACCTTAACCGAAATGACATAACACTAACTTGTTCAGACCTGTTTTTTTATTGATCGCACATAATATTCTTGCATTGTTCCTTTGTATTATTTTAACTTGGATTAATTTTGATTTGGTTATTTATTCTCTGAAGAAGTGGCTTATACTGAGTCACGAAATGTCAGGGAATCTAATTTTCCTACTCACTAGGATATTAAAAATATTTTTTATTTATTTATAACAATATACTCAATGCTGAATTTATTCAAAATGATCAAATTAAACCTTGATAATGATACCTACTTAATATTAACGTTTATTTTCAGTGTGACAATAATAAACTGCTAAGCCAATCAGTATCAAGACATTTACTTTTGATTTTTTGTGTAAAATTCAAAATGTATTACCAAGTGTTACATTATGAATAGCTTTGTAAAGGATATCTTTATTTAGAGCTTGAGTAGCTTAAGTATGATAAGGAAAACTTATTATTTCGTCGTACATTTATGTGGAAGCAAATTATAGAAAACATTTACTCGACCTGGCGCAATCTTATTTTAAAACATAAATCAATAACATTCCTCCCATCTTCCTTTTATTAAAAGTAACCTTTTGATCAAATTACATCATCATCAGTTCGTTATTTAAACGTCAACGTTTTTTATGATTTATTTAAAAGCGGTCAAGAGTTTCATTAACATTGTCACATGACGTCTTTCATGGATTAGGTTCATAAATATTGGAAAAAGTATGAGAGATCATTTGTGATTCTTTAAAATGTTTAAATACATATCTTTGTCTTTTTGTAAGTACTCTAGATTTGTAACAAAATTGGTCTTCTTTAAAAAATAAAAACAGAGCTAACACTGTAAACTTTTAAACAAAATAAAAGAAACATGTGGACCCAGTTTCATTATTATTTTCTTAAAAAGATGCTTTATTTTGACTATCTGTGTACTGTTTAGTTGATAATGTGCTTGTAGTGTCAGTTACTATGTTAAGCCCATATACTGTATTCTAACTTTCGGACATCCCATTCTATTCATTCTACTTGAGTCATACTTTGACCTTGTTATTTATTCGCTTATCAATCTAGACTGTTTTTATATGAGCGTATATATGTGTGCCCTTCTTATCCCATTAATCACATGTCTGTAGCTTTATTTTGTTCGGTGGGTGATATGATTGCGAAAATGTCATAATTTAATGACAACACGAACAAGATTAATAATTCCACATTCGGTCATGATATTGGCAATAATGTAATCATAAGCATATAATGATAATTTGAATCGTAATGGAACAATCCGACAAATGGATCAATGAGAATAGTTGAGATGAGGACAAAGTATCGAAAAGATAATACGACTTGAGCATGTCCATGCCATGTTGCACAGGCTTTGCTGATTGAGTTGGATTGGAGATTGCGCTGGCTTCGCTGAATTTGTTCGTCGTCGGCGGGCTTAAGTTTGCTGAGGAATGGTGCGTGTTCTAAAGGCGGGTCACCAGTATGTTGAAACGGCGGCTAACCAATATGTGGAGGCTAATGTCGTCAATATCTGACTCCAATAAATAATATCCCGTAAACTGAGTATTTAAGGTAGGTTTAATCTCCTAGTAGAATTACGGATTTACTCGAGATTATTCAGGAGCCTGAACACCAGTTGTAGAGATAATTTATTGTTAATGATTAATAAAAATCCACAAGCGTACAGCAAGCAAGCACAAGGCGAAGCCAAGTAAAAATGATGCGCAGTGGAGATGGCTGGTAAGCCAACTCACCACTGGTCAAGCGTTACTCAATATTTATAGTCAGACAAAATAAAGCTACAGACATGTGATTAATGGGATAAGAAGGGCACACATATATACGCTCATATAAAAACAGTCTAGATTGATAAGCGAATAAATAACAAGGTCAAAGTATGACTCAAGTAGAATGAATAGAATGGGATGTCCGAAAGTTAGAATACAATATATGGGCTTAACATAGTAACTGACACTATAAGCTTGAGAATGTCAAGGTAATTTCCAGAGTGATTTAATTTCGCCACTATAGTATATTTTCATCCCATATTTTGACTTTTTAAAGCGCAGTACTTCGTTAAAAAAGGAGCAAAATGAAGTTTTTAAATATTACTGTTTCTAACGGATTGTATTTTATGTTATAAAAAACCATTAAAAGTAGACCACACATTATCTACACAATACAGTTCAGAAGTTGATTGAAATATTGTTTAGTTAATAAAGTCACTTATGGCAGAAATCATAGCAAAAGTGTAAGCGATCAAAATTTCATTTCTTTCCATACCGTTGTTTATTTCTTTCAGAAAAAGGGTTGTTTTAATCAAAAACTGTGAACATATTCTGCTTTGTCACTTGCGTCCGCATCCTCAGAAGATAACTCCGGATCAATGAGAGTAGCAACGGATAGTGGAACAACAGGAACATTTTCACCTAAGTTATTAGCGCAATAAAAAGTAAATTTTAAAGAAATGAAAAAGGGAAAAATATATAACACAAATGTGAAATGTCCTTAGGCGATAATGAAAACAGTGTTCAGTAGCGACTGGAAAATAACTGAAAGTAAAGTAGTACTGAACAGCTTTTTTTATCAAATCTTTAGACGTTTTAGCATTGCTTTAGCACAACATTGCTAAAAATGCAATTGAAAACCATATCTCACGGCGAATATGTTACATTTAGGCCTTTGGATTAAGAATCAATGGTCAACATTAACAACTTGAATCAATTTGTGAGATTGTACAATGACAAATCATAGCTTCTTGATTTTCTATAGCTCTCTGGTCAACGTCAGCCTGCAATGAAAACTTAATTATTATTATTAAAATGTTACAATTTCATTTAATGTGTTTACAGCAAAATATACTCGGAACCTATCAACCTTATTTCCACGAATTAATCACTAAGTATATGGTAGTTTATAAACTCTTTTTCAGTCGTTGGATGGTGTGTCATATGACGAAAAGATGTTCTGGACAACTGACGTTTTGGAAGCTTCACACATAAGTTCTTCAGTGACAGCGCAGACATGCATAAGGAGTTACTCGTCATTGATCTTATTAACTGGGCTATATATGAATGTGAACTGAAAAATTGAGAATGAGGAAAGTTTGTTTTGCAGATACATCTTGACATAAAGTATCTATAACTATTAAACGCAAATACTATATCAGTACAGGGATTCAGAAATTGTTGGGATTTATTGAGATCATGAACCGAACAATGTTAGATCGCTATTGAAAACCTGAAAGCACTGTACAGTCATTTTGTCCTAGTTATCGGAAGCTGTTACAAAAATTGAAAGTAATTTTCATCACTTATTGGTAACACCGGAACCAGTGAAAATCAAGCAGTAGAGGATAGTTGTTTAGTCAAATGTAAAAACTTCTGGGCAGTAATCATTATCGATAACTTTTAACAGAAACTTGTTGTATTGCTGAGAGTGATGAAGACAGTTAGCAAGGTGTGTGGTGAATCTCTTGAGGCCATAATTAATATGGTTGTGGATAGACATCTAAAGTTATGCAACTCCCGGAGGATGTTATCTTACCAAATACTAACCATCCCTTTCATTCATATCTTTCTCCTTGTATATCTTCTGGTAGAACGAAACGTAAATACATTAAAGTTCATGCACACAAGCAAAGGTATAAAAGTCTTGTAATACTTTACCTAGCAAATATACTCTGTAATGAACAGGTGGTTGGAGTTAACCGAGTCAATAATTCGTGCTCTTCAACGTCTCTAACTTGAAAAGTTGTACAGATTCAGACATTTTTTCCACTTTTTTCTTTTCTTGTTTATTGCTTTTCTGTTTTTGTAAAACAAACTTGTTAAAATCTCTCGTGCTTTATATACTGTGCCTGCATCTCAGTTGATGTTCACAGTGGAATACAGGCACATCCAATTGACGAGTCGTAAGTGGGACGAAACGCACGTCCTGGATTCAACAGCTAGCCACTCTCTGTCTTTGCTTATAAAACTTATGACTTAAGGCAATATCGAAACAGTCCATATAGGATACACATATGCCAATAAGAGATTGATCAATCGCAATCTTAAACAACAATGGGAAGATACAAGTAAACGACACTAAGTTTGTTTATTTCTTACAAAACGTTATTAAAGATGTCATAAAGATAAGTAGGAAGGTTAAATTTGAAATTTTAATTATAATGCATATATATATATATATATATATATATATATATATATATATATATATATATATATATATATATATATACTTATTAAGTATTGGATAAAAATCACGATTATAATCCATTGAATTCAGTATCATTTCGTTTATTCAGTGATCCTCCCTTGGGATTTTAAAAAGGGAGTTTGTTTTTCCCTTTCAATTATTTTTAATTAACCCCATATTATTTCATATTTCATTTGACCTGAACGAAGTTTAATTTGAAAAAATGCTTTAGTATATTATTTAAAACCTGTAATTACTTTTATGGAGGTAGAATACGTGTCTATGAATTTGTAGTCCATCTGTTATTCAGTATTCAATCTATGTGAAGTATCAGGTATATTCTGGCTTTTTTTTCGTTCATTTAATGAATGAATGCTGTGTATAAGAGCATAATTTTCACTGTGAATTTCATTTCAAGTTCTAACTTTCATTTTATTTGCTTTCTTTTTTTAAATTAGAATGATCTAAAGTATCCTGTTCATAGAAAATATATGTAGACAGCTTTAGACGATTAAAACGAAAACTTCAATGAAAATTAAGCTCTTATGTACCTCACTCATTTAATAAATGAATGGAAGAAATGTTCAATAATTTTAGATATTGAACTTGTCCTGAACACTAAAAAAAGGATGGATAATCTCATATATTTTAGAATGTATTTCATATATTAACTAATTAAATTTTATTCTAACATTTAATGTCGAAAATTCACCAAGATCTCAACTAATTAGTAGTGCTTACTAGGTGATTTATAGTTGTTTTATTCATAAAAGATATTTTTAATCGGTTACGTTAGGATCAGTTAGTCGAATTCAAAAGTCTACAGTTTTGGTTCCAATCAGTTTACTGAATTAAATACAAAGTTGTGGTCAAAGAGAAACAGTCGAGTACTTTGTATTTTAAAATTAAATAGAAAGTGATTCAATATGAGATTTGTTATGTATATTTTATAGAATGTGAAATAATAAATTACAAACAAGTTTGTTTGATACAACATTTCAAATTACAAGCTTGATAATATTGTTATTTAACTAATAAGATCATAAACGATAGAATCGTATTTAAACTTATAACTTAGTGACTGATGTTTGTGTAAAGGAGATAACGAGCAATATATTTTATAACATTTATATGAATGTATCAAACTGCTAGTATTTGAAACTTGTACAGAAATAGTCATATTCTTTAAAAACGAAATGATCTATGTTATGTGTTAAAAAAGTAATCCGTTAGTCTCAAACAAATGTCTAAAAACAACTATTTTTGTAAACTGTGAGGAGAAACATGTGTGTGTTGACCTATCTAATGTCTTATTTACTATTAATTGGATGAATTCAGTGCATTGATAATACGAATCATTTAGAGTTTTAAGAATTTTCTGGTAATTAACAAATCTGGAATCTGTTACACAAAATTGCCGGTGTGCTAATGTTATATCTTGTGCCCTGTTATTATACATAACGTAATGATATCGCCAATTAGAAAACAGTGATTTATCGACCGAACCAATAACACATAAAACACGAGCAGTCTAAAGTCTTTATTAGTCTTTCTTCCTGCCGTGCCTTGCCTGTTAAGTCCAGAACACCAATCTCATCCTCTGTAATTTGAATCATGTAATTCAAACATACTGGGTTTATATACAGACTAAACAGACCACATCGTACCATAAAATATAAAATAAAATTTGTACAAGATCTAGTCAAAAGTGACTGTGAATGTGGGAGACTGTAGTTAATAGACTGGGCATAACTCAAGAATGGCAAATAGTGTAATAATAGTCTATGGGTCAAAATAAAGCTTTTAATAAGCGGAACATGAATATGCATAGTTTAGCTAATTAATAATTTTGCAACAAAAATATATGTATCGTATCGTTCCATAAATAGTTCTCAAGAGTTACCATTAATAATTATAATCGAGACAAAACAGCTACTCAATCTTAGTTCCTGAAATGTAACAACAATGAAATGTCCTTAAACTCAAAGTCAATTAGCAATTTCGAGCAACCATAGTCCGTTATCACTGGTGATACTTTTGTCACTTCCGAAACAGATGAAATTTACTAGTCACAGATTCCTACTGAATTCGAAACTATGTAGTAATGAATATCAACTCAGCGGTTTGAAAGTTGAGTTAGCTATAAGGCCAGAAGATTTTGATTTGATTCCCTATAATGTTGTGGATGGACACTTCTAAAGAGTTTAGTATTAGAAAAGAACAGTTATCCAATGTTTGTTAGTTTACAATGATTGTTTAATCAAACTGATTCTATAATGTTAAACCTTAGAATTAGAAATAAGATTGTTTGCAAATATACTTTAATAAATGTATTTTAATGAAGCTTTTAATGGTTATTGACTGTTTGTAATAATAAAGTCAAAAATATTGAAAAAGAAAATTCAATCTGAACAGAAAACCCATATTAAGTAATATGACAAAAATGGTTACTTCATTAAACGTACCATGAACTGTGATTGAATTTAATTTTTTATTATCAGTTCCTAAACCTTTGTAATGAAATTTATGAATTAGATGCTCTTTTTTCATATACCATGGTTTAGTACTAATGGTTTTGGTTGATTCGCCTAGAAACACAAGTTAATAAAAAACAATTATCAATAATTTATTATTAATGTACAACAGTTTTTGATTTTATATTATATTTCATTGTGTAATATGCTTAGAAAAAAAAGTAGAAGAAAAAATGCATTTGAACTAATACTAATTTTCAAGTGATAATTAAAAGTGAGAAAAATGAAATACTCCAATGGATCAAATAATAATACACAATTATATGAAAGAAAGTTTTCGTTTCTGTGATCTTTTTACTTCAGGAACACATTGAGTGCCTTCAACGCAACGGGTTGATCATAAGATTTTAATCGCTGAATAGGAATTTTTCAGTGATCAAATAATGATGATAATAATAATATGTCAAGTTTTTCCGAATTCTGTTGTCCGTTAAATAAATTATAATGATAATGTTAAGTTTACTAACAATCGCCTTTTGTAATGAAAGTTTTCTGTAAAGAAGTAATCGCTTGAAGGTCAACTAAAGAAATTTTAATTCTAATTATTTTTGTGTAAGAATTTTAGATGAAAAGAAAATGTTTGATTTAACTTGAGTATGTAACTATACAAAATGTATCAGAAGGGGTTTTGTGGATATTATGGTAATAGTTGAAATCATGAGTCAATTGAAGCTAGACAACCATGGGAAACCTGGAAGCAATGGATGACCGTTTTGTTCTATTATGGGACTCCTCAGTAGTGTGCATCTACGATCCTGCCTCGCGAGATTCGAACCCATGATCTATCGGTCTCGCGCACGAACACTTAACCTCTAGACCTTTGAGCCGGCAATACAAAATGTTACTGTGTATTAATGTTTGACTACAAATTGTAATAGAGGCAAACGTGCAAAAAAATAACACTTTATGTGTTATTTAATAAATAAAAATGAACAAATTTAAAAAATCATATTCACAACTTAATATGAAATTACTCTCCCGGTCTCCCATATTGTACGAGTATTCCATGTACCTAAATAAATGGTTGCTCTGGTTGTCAGAAGGGGCATCAGCCTCGTGACTTCCGAAGGAACTCGGCTTTCATCATGAGGCGTCATAACTCTTCTAAATGAAGACCTTCTAACTCCACGGGCAGAGTTTAAGTGGTTTGAATTTTTTTTCTGGTTAGCGTTTTTTAGCGAGTTGGTTTTCTACGGGATGGGATAGCTGACTCCATGGCCAACCCCTCTCCATTATCCGGGCTTGGGACTGGCAGTAGCTCCCGTAGGGACTCCAGGCGGAGTTTTAATATGAAATAGTCGAGATTAAATAAATGATTTTATAGTTTGATAAGTAATTTAATTATACACATTGATAGAAATCATTCTATTGTACTTAATACTAAAAGATTAGGAAATATCAAAAACTTATGATATAATCTTAAAGAGACATTGCTATGGAGTCCTAAATTCAGATTAAACAATTGCCTATTATTTCCTGTTTTCCTATCTTCTTATTGACAAACTCAAGTTATTGATGAAAATTATCTTAAAATTAAGAATATCTCAACAAAATTTAAATTCAGTTCCCTTAAAATGTGGACGTTATTCAACATAGGCTTACAATCTAAAACTTATTTATATGTCGTAATCATAATCATCATTGTATAAATGTTCGCTTGGTATTGTTTGGCTTGTATCTTCCCATTGAGGTTTAAGACTGCAATTGATCAGTCTGTTATTGGCATATGTGCATACTGTGCGTATGCCTCGATATTGCCTTAATTCACAAGCTTTGTAAGCAATGATGGATAGTGGTTCCACTGCTAGCCACTATCCATCATTGTATAAATGTGTTATAATAAAATAGTTGTTTATATTTCTAAGCAGAATATCAAGATTGGTAATTCTTTTGTAGTCATTTATCTAAATATGATTATAATGAATAATGATAAAAGATTGTAAAAGACTAACTCAAAGAAAATTTGGATAAAGTAATATTGCTCAATTCGTTCCTTCTTTATTTACCAAATGGCAAAATGGGAATTTTCACTATAAAGTAATATTCATTTATAAAAAGTAAAGTAATATTTCGTTAACAAATGATTAGTCTAAGACTTTGGTTTGTATACAATCAGAAAGAGATAAAACCTAATTGCTTAAAGGTCAACGTTTGTTTAACGTAATCAATGAAATTAGTTTCGGAACAGATAATAAAAAAGATATGATGGAAACATTATTATTATTATTACTAAACTTGAAGTTTCAAGCTGTATATTCCTGATTTTATAAATATATATTTAATAAAACTCAAAGGAAATTGAATTTTATTTCTGTCACAAGTCATAAATCGTTGAGGGCCATGTGAAATTAGCAAATTCTGAAAGGATGATTGAATGGAATACAAAAAAAACCTAATTATTGAAATGTGACCTGATAAGAACAAAATATTAATCATTATTGAGTTTGAAATGTACAGGATAAATCAAGAACTAAATTGTAAAGTTTAAAACTACAGTTGCACTAGATGTTGATTTGCAGTTTCTAGTATAGAAGACTGAACAGCTTTACTTTTTTTATGAGTAGAACTTCGTAAGTTGAAACTAGACGTAGCTTTTAGAATACTTATGTTACACTCTAGATCCATGAATGCACTGAGCATAATTAAGGACTCCTCGTTAATTTTCTGGTCTTATAATGAACACAATACAATTTGCTCAATAATTTATGGACATTTTCTAGATAATGTCAAATCCTGCCACAGACTATATTCAGTGTTACGTTTTTAGTAAATACTGTTGTGAAGTTCCGATCTAAAGCAAAACAGTATTTAATAGCTTTCAGGGATTCTGTAGTTATTGTGAATTATGAGGTCACAATGCAAAAAGAATTGATTTTATATCTATATAAACTCCATTAAGTGATCTACAACTATAATAAAATATCATATTATCATTTACCATTAAAATGCTCAAGAAAATCTAAACGGTGCGGTGATGATCTCAATAGTTCCAGCTTACGATTGCATCAAGTCGAAATTTCACCATTTGAAACATTGGTTACATCTCCATGTAGCTGTACTTTGAGAAGGATCAAAACTAATGATTAATCGTTTTATTATTATTATTTTTTTAAAAAGCCATCAATGTGAATCAGTTTCTCTCTACAAAAACACATCTACAATTTTATATTAATCCATTCAGTTTACTTCTCATTTATAAAATGAATGAACTGACTCATGATTTCAACCTGTGAAATTTACTAAAATCTCCACAAAACTCATTCTGATAGTAATCAACTGCTCACTAGTGACTGACTTCAGGAGAACCTTCTGGAGTTCTAGTGAGAAGCCGTCACCAGTGGAGTTCAACCAGGTCTGTTGTGAGATATCAGCTCACTGAAGACATTGGTGTTCGATGGCGCAACTTCGTGGATTGGTTGAAGTTAGACATTAACACCGTTGGATGCCGGCTCAGTGGTCTAATGGTTAAGTGCTCGCGCGCGAAGCCAGTAGGTCCTGGGTTCGAATCCCGCAGGGAGCGGGTTCGTGGATGCGCACTGCTGAGGAGTCCCATACTAGGACGAAACGGCCGTCCAGTGCTTCCAGGTTTTCAATGGTGGTCTAGCTTCAACTGACTCATGATTTCAACCTGTGAAATTTACTAAAATCTCCACAAAACTCATTCTGATTTAAATACTAGTTTTTAAGAAAATATCTTAAATAATTATTAGATTATCTATCAGGGGTCTTGTGAAGAAATATCATTGGTTGAAATCACAAGTCAATTAGAGCTAGACCATCATGGCAAACCTGGAAGCATTGAACGACCGTTTCGTTCTAGTATGGGACTCCTCAGCCACGCGCATCCACGATCCCACACCCCAAGAGATTCGAACACAGGACCTATCAGTATCACGCGCGAGCGCTTAACCATTAGACCACTGAGCTGGCCGGCATCCAACGGTGTTAATGTCTAACTTCAACCAATCCATGAAATCGCTCCACCGTACACCATTGTCTTCAGTGAGTTACCATCTCACAACAGACCTGGTTGAACTCCACTGGTGACGGCTTCTCACTAGAACTCCAGGAAATGCCTCTTGAGATCGGTCACTAGTGAGCAGATGGTTGGTCGCCTGGCGCGAGACTGATAAGTCCTGTGTTCGAATCTCGCGGGGGCGGGATCGTGGATTCGCACTGATGAGGAGTCACATACTAGGACGAAACGGTCGTCCAGTGCTTCTAGGTTTTCCATGGTGGTCTAGCTTCAATTGACTCCTGACTTCAACCAATTATTAGATTGTAGTTTATCTTCTAAGAAATAATTCATTAATTTTAATAATAAATAATTAGGAAGATAAAATGCCTATATTAGGACGAAACGGTCGTTTATTGATTCTAGGTTTTTCATGGTGGTCTAGCTTCAACTGACCCATGAATTCAACTACAAAATGATAAAAAATATCTCCACAAAACCTTTTTCTGATTATAATGGTAACAATAATAGTTAAATAATAAAAAAAACATAATGTAAATAGAATGTACCAAAACAATTGTCATAAATAATACATTAAGATCAAAACATATCTCTTATTCTCAGAAAGTTGACAAACAAGGGACTGAGTAACTAAATCCTTTGTTTAGTATATAAGTAATAAAAAAATATAAAGTAAAGATAACTGTCTTGTCTCTATGACAGTACAGTTTTGTAAAGTTATTCTGAAGATCATCAGATAAACTAATCTGATACTTTATAACCATTTTTCTGATAAACCCAAACCTGAATAAATGTAACACTTTTTCTATTATGTTTGTATGCTGATAATCAGTTGTTAGACAGTATATTCAACATTTAGTTTGTTGTGACAGGGGGTGTATCAGTATAAGATTTCGGACACCGTCCGTCACAACAGTTTCTGGAGATGTTATTTTTGTCAAACCCATGCGAAAATAAATTTTTCAGAATGTCGATTTCAGTAGATCAGCCTAAGTCTATTTTGAAGAGGCAGCAAAAAGAATTTTAAGCATCACAATTGAAAATGATCGAAATGATAGCACAATTCAAGAAAATTTAGTACATACATCCGAATTAAAGGGCCCAACCACCGAATCACTGAACAAATCAATGAGAAAGTTTCATTTTGATCCTAATGGTGATGTCAAATTTGAATCATGGTTCAAGAGATATGAAAACATTTTCCAAGTTCATGACTTTTCAAAGGTGAGAATTCTCCTTTGGAAACTTGGAGCAGGTGAGGATGAGAGGTATTAAAATCTCATTTAGCCAAATGAACCCACGATTTTGCTTTCGGTACTGTAGTGAACGAGAACACAAATGGGGCCAATCGAACGTATTTGAATATAAAATGGCAGAACGTCTTAGTAAAATTTGAGAACCATACAGTAAATTCTTCATTTGCAAAATGTCAGTCAATTGTATCCATATTGACTGTTCCTTCTGAAATATGTCAATCAATCGTCTCAGACTTCATTGTTCTTTCGTTTCCACACTAATAATTTTTTGTTCTCGTTCTTTTTTCTTTGATGTTCTTAAACTTCTGCCGCCAGGCATTTTATTTTCAATTGATGATACATACCACTTACATCTGTCGACATCAGTAGCATGCATCAGAATACTACTGTGCAAAAACTAACAGAAAATTTTCTACTCAAACATCTTTCCTTAAATTGCGGTATAATTGTCTTAAAACTGTGAAGAGATCTGAAGATGATTTTCTTTCATACACCGTGTTTGCTAATAAGCAGTACGAAAATTTTAAGTCGTATTCACTTCCAAACGATGAATTTAAGTGTCTTGAATGTTGATTGCAGTCATCGTCAGACTCGGATATTCGTACTAGAATTTTAAGCGGAATAGAGCCACATCCCAATCCTTTGTTGAAAGATATCACAAATGAATGTCTTTGTATTATTAATCTTAAGAATTATACTAGAATAATCGAACGCTCAAATCCTGACATGCATCTGCTTTTAATTCTAATTCATTTGATCTAATGAGAACATCTTGTCCAGATCTCACTGTTAATGTCGCAAGGCATCATTCACGAATGTTTTCTGGCCCGAATCGAACCTATGATGTCCATGACCCTAATTCAAGGCGCTCTACAAGGGCTCCCTTTAGTTATTGGAGCTGTAGGACATGACATTTCTCCCGTTTCTACCTATCCAACAACCAAAAATGAGCAAAATGTGGAGTAATTGGCCATTAAAGAGGGATTTCGCAAACTCAACAAACCTTCATCCCACTATCGAGTGATAAAAAGGGTCAACTGTGTATATGTTTTGTCAAAATCAAACCCCTAATGCCTATGCAAGTATGCATCCATCGATGTTAATGATTGTATTATCACTCCGCATTTGGACACTGCGTTTTATGTAACCTTGGTTTCTCGCAATACTTAGGTAGGTAGGTAGGCATTCATCCCGCTACCGACTACATAAATAATGCATCGGCCATCCCAATTAAAATTTTTGGAATTGTCAAGTGTACTGTCAAATTCAATTAACTAACGATAATACTCAGGTGTTATGTTACTGATGAATCTTTTAATCTATTGGATCCTGACTGGATCATAGAATTAAAAATGTTTGATTACCCATTTAATCTTATTTGAAATCCAGATTTTAAAATGTTCGATCAATCATCTGAAACTACCTGTGATCAAGTACCTCCCTATCCTCATACAGTTCACAAATGAAAGCAGAAATTTTATAGTGATTTTCAAAATGTACATAAGAGGAGGGCACGATGGAGTAAATCACCAGGGATAACCCCTAACCCAACCTCACTCAAGAGTGTCCCCCGTGATAGCTCAGTGTTCTAAAGGAAGACTCGGATAACACTTGATAGCATGTATCCACAAAGAAAACCCTGTCTGTAGCTCTTATAGGGTTACTGGCGATCCCAAGCCCATTCAAAGGGGTAGGGTTGGGCATGAGGTCGGCAACCCTATCCCGTAGGAGAAAATCTTGCCAAAAAACGCCAACTAATAAAAACAATTTAAAAAATTTAAACCCTGCCCAGAAATTTGGAGAAAGAACTATGACGCCTCATAGTGAAAGCCGAGATTTTTCGAATTTCACGAGACCGATTCCCCTTCAAACAACCAGAGAAACAATTTTTATAGGTACATGGAACGTTCGGACAATGTGGAAGATAAGAAGGACCAATCAAATAGCCTCGGAAATGAGGACATATTCTTCTTCTTCTTCTTAATATGTTTATACTTTTTAAGGGAAAGGCAATTCTGTTTGTATTTTTTGAATATATTCTCCTATTTTGTAAATGTAAGTGATTATTTCATCGTAAATAGCAAAATTTATGTAAAACTGACAATAAAATCTAGTTTCTTGTAAATATATTTGTATAATGTAATTAAATTACAAACATCAATATAAATTGAAGTCCATCATTTTGTAAGCCATGTTTTCACTAAAATTGTACAGTAGATTACTCTATTCTAACCAGGTAACAATTGAACAATGTGAACTTGTTAGTGTGTATTTACATTAAACATTCTTTACTTGTTAGGATCTGCAACCCAACTTACTTATTGATATCCACTCCCTAATTGGTTGGCCCTAAAACACCATGTGTAGAGTGGAAACCAAGACTGTGCAAGAAGATGATAACTAAGAGTTGTGTAATATTACTGACAACTTTTAAGTATTTATATCTTCAAGTAACCCAGATATGAATATGTAAGTGATAAGCTTGACTAAATAAATGAATCACCTATTCACAATAGGCTTCTCATAACTAAATCTCCCACCTCCTATGTAATATTGTACATAATAAAACCATGTGATAAAGACGTGCTTACCAGTCATATCTGTCTTCAATCATAAAGTACAAATATTTATATATACAAAACAAAAATTGATCAAAAATTGTTTTTGTAATACAGTTAATTTACATAATGAAATGTATAACATTAAAGCAATTTTAAACAACTAAAAACACTAGAACTGTGAATATGTAAAATGTGTTGAAATAAAAGGTCTTGAAATACATTAAGAAGAAAACTCGTCTAAATTTAAGCGAATAGTACTTAAAGTTCAATCGCTGAGATTTTCACACATATAATTTTCCTCCTTAATGTCTTGAAATACATTTTTTTCGTAGACTACATTTAATGCAATAATATAATAAACAATAATTTTTTCTAAGATTCCAGCAAATTCATTAGTAATTTAATAGTTGAATTCATGAGTCAATTGAAGCTAGACTACCATGGAAAGACTGAAAGCACTGGACGGCCATTTCATCCTAATATGAGACTCCTCAGCAGTGCTCATTCACGATCCCGCCTCGCGAGATTCGAACCCAAGGCCAATCGGTCTCGCTCGCGAACACTTAACCTCTAGACCACTAAGCCGGCATCCAATTGTGTTAATGTTTAACTCCAACCAATCTATGAAACCGCTCCACCGTCTACCATTGTCTTCAGTGAGTTACTATCTCACAACAGACTCATGAATTCAACTATTAAATTACTATAATATCTACAAAACCCCTATCTGATTAAAATTCATTAATGAGGTGCTATGCACTTCATATATACTAGCTTCTAAGATGGATATTATCTACAATTTTTAAAGTAACTAGGTATTCAAACTAGTCTATTCTTTATAAATAACATGATAAATAACACAGTTACTAATAATATATTAACAATCCACTTACATATTATTGCTTCAATACAAATTAACGTAAGTATTTTAGTCATATGGTTGATGTTCATGATAACTATAAATATCTATACATGTATATATTAAACAATTAGCAGATTGTATTCACAAACAGTCTATTTGATTTAGAATATTTCTTTGACCAAATACATTAATTTATTATTCTTATTTAAATGTATTATTGTAATAAAATGGAATCTAAAATCATAAATGTTTAAATTTCTAAAACTTTCTCTACATAATTTACCTTCATCCACTTTAATAAAATAATTAAGTAATTATTTTACTACTGGTTAATTTGTAGGGACTGGTACCATGTCAAGCCCACATAGCTTATTCTAGCTTTCAGACAGACCAATTTATTATTCATCTTAAGCCACATTTTTACCCTACTCCTTATTCGCTTATTAACACTGTCTGTTATTTATATGATCGTATGTGTGTTAATTACTCACCCTATTCATTATGTGTCTGTAACTTATTTTCGTTTGACTATAAATATCGGTTCATATTTGGTTAAATTGAGTTGGTTCACTAACCTTCTCAACTCCTCTTCGTTTCGTTTCGCGTCTTTTTCACTTTGTTTCTCTAGTTGTATGTTCAGATCAATGAATGTATGAAATATACCTATTCACACTTCATTCTCATATTTGACTTATTCAATACCGTTATACACTAACGCGATTTAAGTCAATAGATATATACGAGGGTTGGCGGCATGTATATTTTGACAAAACTCATCAAGCTATCTAATTGGACTCAGATATAAGGTCACTAAAGTGGTTAGCTCGACGTGCGAACTCGACGCAATTTTCGACGATACGATTAAATGGAGTCGGATACACGAGGGCTACCAAAAGCTTAACAAAGGAATTACAAATCATAATATTGGACTGTCTTATTGATGTAAATGTACGGGGTTGGTTGAACAAATTGGTCATAACCCTGGGAACTTTAGGAGCATGAAGTAAAACAATTAGTTAATACTATTCTTTGTATGTAATAAACATATATCGGCATAGTATAGCAAATGAAGGTACAAAGATTTAATTAAATGTTACCAGTATCATATACAAAAAAGTCCTGAAACATCAATTCGGATAATACCAGAAGACCATAGAGTAAAAATTAAATTGTTGCATAACAAAATAGACTCCTCAAAATAACACCTATTAACAGTAAATCATTCCGATCTTTGATTTTAAACTAACAATCATAAGCATTCTGTTGTTATTTTTTTGTGTGAATCGGTTAAAAATGCTCAATTTGTAATTGTAATTTAATTAATTACAATGTTTAATAATACATTTAATTGTTTTGTTTTTTAATGAATACAACACCTTCATTTATTTCAGTTACGTAATTACTTTAAAATTCTTAAGTAAATGAAATAATAAATTGTTACAACGCTCAGTTTTACTTCGTCTAAAGTTATAACGGTTAGGTTTCTACGTTTACACATATGGGACGTTAATTTACCTTAGACGAATATCTATACTAGATTCCCTCCCAGTGTCTATTCTACAGGAAGTCAACACAACTCAGATCAAGAACAATTGATTAGCCTGACCACAACGTAAATATATTTCCACACCATAAACCCGACACAAACCAACACCCATGAACAATCAATAATAAGTGAGCAATAATAATAATAAGGATAAGAGAATATATAACTCATCTGACACCTGTCAAACTATCTATATGTCTGACTATGCAGACAACCAATCATTATCATTTTCGCCCACACATCATAAATACAGAATGAACACAACCGAATCAATATGTTTCCATCTTTAATCAAAAGAAATCTCTTTTCACTTTCTGAAAACTCAAGTTATTATTTCATTGTATTTTTTCATATAGAACAAATGGCTCATATCATATTATAAAGATGTTTAAGTGGATAGAATGTATGCTGAAATAGGTAAAGTAACACAATCTGATAACAATTTATAGAGTACAATCATAATGATTAAGCGAAAACATAAACTTAAGTAGAAAAGAAAACAATTTAAAAAAAACAAGAACCAATAATCTGAAATTATGGTAGATGACAGATGAAGATTGTCTGTTTTGATCACAATCATCAAGTACCGACATCAACTGAAGAATCACGAAAAAGGAAACAAGTAAGAAGTTCTGAATATGTGTTTATAAATGTTCACCTACCAACTAAACCCAGGATATTTTGGAACTTAGATTAAATATTACAATCAAGTGTGACACATCTTAAAATTCAGAGAATTTACGACAAAGTTTGAGTATTATCCAGTTTCATCAATGTCTTCTCAAAATGATAAAACTCTAAAAAACCTGTTTCCTCTCTAGGGTTTTGTGATAATGAATGAAATTTTTTAATTGCTGGTTAAATGATTTCAACAAATAGTAGAGATAAATTGGTACATGAATGAAATTGCAATTTGAAAATCTCTCCATTTCATAATCGTAATTTCAATGAGCTTAGTAGTACTTAATTACTTACTTACTTACGTCTGTTACTCCAAATGGAGCATAGGCCGCCGACCAGCATTCCCCAACCCACTCTGTCCTGGGCCTTCTTTTCTAATTCCATCCAATTCTTGTTCATTTTCCTCATCTCTATCTCAATTTCTCGACGTAATGTGTTCTTTGGTCTTCCTCTTTTCCTTTCGCCTTGAGGATTGCATGTGAGGGCTTGTCTTGTGACGCAGTTGGGTGCTTTCCTCAATGTGTTTCATATCCACTTCCTATTCGCTTCTTCCTGATTTCTCCCTCCACTGGGATCTGGTTTGTTCTCTCCCACAGTTGGTTGTTGCTAATAGTGTCTGGCCAACGGATTCGAAGTATTTTGTGTAGACAACTGTTAATAAACACCTGTATCTTCTGGATGATGGCTTTTGTAGTTCTCCAGGTTTCCGCCCCATACAGTAGAACTGTTTTGACATTTGTATTGAAAATCTCGACATTGGTTATGGTTGACAGTTGTTTTGAGTTTCAGATGCTCTTCAGTTGCAAATATACACATAGCTCACTTTCATTTGAATTAGACAATGATGATGCTATTGAGTAAGACAGTGATAAACTGGGAATGGAAATGCGATATTTCAGAAAGTTCATCACTATGATCTAAATAAAACTGAAAACAGGATTCAGCCAATTTACAACAATACATGAGACTGAATTTGCCGAGCACTCTATTGCAAAATATTTTGAATATATATTTGTGTTACTGCTTCATTTATTTTATGTTTCAGCTTCCTGATAGATAAATTTTGTAATGGAGTTTTGTTCTCTGAACTCCAGCTCAGAGAACAAAACTCCATCAAAATAATTTACCTGAGCTACGAATCTCCACCATCTTAAGATAAAGCTTGTATTAGTCAGAGCCAGTTATTTATACACTTTCAAATAACTTTCAGCATAAATTACACATATAAAAGAACGACATAGAGTATATTATATAAAAAAATTGTTCGTAAAAGTATGTTGCGGTAAAAGCAGTTAATAAGTCAACAAAAATCCGTAATTGTATGGCAAATCAGAAAATATTTTTTTAACAAACCTTATTACTTAAGTTTGCTCATCAACAGATATATTAAACGGCCTCTCAGTGTACAGTGTCACATGGAAAATGTATTGCATATCAACTATCAAACCATTCTTGTATTAAATCGTGGATATGAACATAAGTTATGACAGTCTTCAATAAGAATGTCTTGTTCGAGTTTATAATAAAGAAAACTTGGTTAAACTTAAAAACAACTTAGGCGTAATTTTTTGGTATCTTCATTGTAGATTATATTTTTTGTACCTTCGTTAATATACATATATATGTGCTAATTAACCTGTCGTCATCTACGACAACGTTTTATTACCAGCGTAAGGGTATAATATGAATTACTGGTTTATAACACGCAGGAATATTGTTCATTCAAGTAGTAAGTTTTTTCAGATTACAATTATTTGATAATGCCCATTGAATATATGTTAAGATGGTATCTATGCTAGATAAAAATATCTCAGGACAATCAGCGAAAACTAATCAATGAGCACAAAAATATGGTTTAAATGCAATCTAAACCTATTTATTATCATATTGGTAAGTCATGTGTTTAATTCTAAGGAATGACGTGAATACTGATTTCTGAGGAGTTTTAAACCGTGATGAGACCTATATGAAGTGTTTTATAGTTCTCATTGTTTTTCAGGTGGTGTAAATATGTAAAGTAAAGTAGTTTCAGAATGTACACATATAGATATATAGTTTTTAGTTATGTTTTCCCAAAGTGACTACTATGAAATTAAAGTGAAATAATCATCTTGTCATCTTTTTCAAGATTATCATGTCAAAAAATACAATCGACAGTGAAACTGTATAGACAGATCACTTACTAAAGGTGTATATTTGTGTTTATAGTGTTTTAATAAATATACGAGTCTTTAGAAGAGTAGAAAGCGATTACATAATGAATTGATCTGATATGTCAAGTATTAAAATAAGGTTGTGTAATGATGTAGATATTAAAAACAATGGGAGGATGGATATACTTTACGAGCCACGAATGTGATAGATGTGATAGATATGAAGAAGAAATTAAAAACGTAGACATCATAATGACATTTGAATAACAGTCATAAAAAGTTGTAGAAGAGTAGTAATAGGCTGAGTACTTTATAGTTCCCAAATTTAGGATGGAAAATTATAGGCAGAGATAGATGGTGACTAGAAATGGAGTTCAGGATTCGCGTATCATCCTATTTGAGACTTATAAACTGAACAAAACTGAATCTTGGAGTTGATATAGTGACTCAATGACGTTCACCTCAAACGCCATCGTGTTACCATGTAACTACTGAGTCTTGATAATCACTGGTATGAGAAATGCTTGTAAAATGTTAATTCATTTATATTGGTTATTTGAATGTACCCAATGGTGTTTAGAACTGTGATTGATCTTTCTTTTTTTGGAATATTTGCATCCTGTGAGTATTGCTTCGATATTGTTATTACGTCATAAACATTATAAAATGGAAATATGTAATATCGACGTTTAAACGTTACTAATTTGTGGTGTCACGAACTTCAATCACACTGAATTGAAGCTTCAAGATGTACTTTTAAAAATATAATTTAAAGAATTAAACATGACAAAGAAATATTATTAACGACTTCGTACCCTATCACACCATTATTTATTAGGTTATCAAGAGATTAGTCTTCATTTGTTTGTTTTGGTACGCACAGCTATGATTATCTACCAACTAACATCAAAACATCTCTGTTGTCACAAATTGAACTATGCGTTTATTAGTAATGTTAACGCGACACTTTAATGTTAAAGTTATAATTTGGAACAGGATATGTATTAAATAAAACTATAAAGTAGAATTTTTCTGCTTTCAATCAAAGTACAAGTTTTGTGCCCCAATTATAAATACATATTCGATTAACTGAATATACAATGTCAAGACGTTAAAAATCCCCCTAATAAAATATTAAGACATTATAGTATTGTACAATTATTTCTTGAAGAAAGGACACATTATTACATTGTAGATACATTTTATGAAGCTCTGATGATTTTCCATGAAATATGTTCCAGATTGTTTAGCATTTCTGCTTTCTTTAGATGGAGTTCTGCATGTAGAATAAAATTATTTTTATTGAAAAACGTCCAAATTTCTAAGAGATTCATAACAATTATTCTCTGCTAACGAAGGTATACGATTGTATAGCTTGATAATGAATATATTCAAAAGACTAAACTTCTCTCTGTTGAAAATGTTTCCATTAGTTCAATTCAAACTTTCGGTATTCAGACATTTTGTATCAACCGTGACAGTTTTATCATTAAAACCTTTTTAAATTTCAAACAATTTTCTACCTTCATGAATTTAAATAGTTTCAGAAATAATAAATATGGCAAAATGTTATGAATTCATTTCATTTCGTGATTTCACCTCAGTTGCTAATAATCATATTTGTATTAAAATATAACATAATGTTGAATAGTAGAGATCAGTAACTGAGGAAATTGGAATAATAACGATTATCGATATTATTACCAATATTATATATACTAACCAGTACATTCATCTATGATTTTCCATCATCCAATATATATAGTATATAAGAATGTAGGAATGTGTAAGTTAATTTGAAAATAGATATCGAAAGCATACAACGGATGAGATAGGAATTGTCTGGTATTCAAAAATTGATAAGACTGACTGTACAATGTTTGTAAAAGTTTTGAAGGGTTCACAGGAGTTTAATAACTAGGTGATTAGAAATCATAAATGAATGTACTGGTTAGTATATATAATATTGGTAATAATATCGGTAATTGTTGTCAGTCCAATTTCTTCAGTTACTGATCTCTGTTATTCAACGTTATATTATATTTTAATACAAATGTGGGTGTTAACAACTAAGGAGGAATTAAGAAATAAAATGAATTCATATTAGTTTGTCGTATTTATAGTTCTGGCCTTGTTTTAACAAACCGTTCATTCCTAATTGTGGCATTTTTGAAATGTAATCTTTTGTTGAATTTGGACTTATCAAATATATTCTCAAGAAAAAATAACTTGGTTTTACTTAGTTAATAGAATATTTTACTAGAATCACTGAGTCTCAATCCATCGAACCTGTTTCCGACATCGAAATTGTCGGAAAAAGTGAGTTATGCTAAAGATATGAATGTCTTTACGTGTTATTTTGTACGACTGAATTTTCTGGAGATTTATATTGAAGTAAACATATAATAGGAATGAATTGTTATTTTTTTCATTAGCATTTGAAATTTGACCTAACTCTAACTCGTTAATCATATTTATAATGCCGTGTTGACCATATATCGCAAATTCATTCGCTCACATGATACTTTCATAGTTGAGAATTTTGTGTAGATTCCTTTTTATTGATTCTTAACAATTTGATTTTCGTTAAAACCCTCGAAAAGTGTCTAAATAAAATTTTCTTTTCCTGAAATGGATACTCAAACAATTTGGAAGTAGTTCTGTTCTCTGGGCTAGATGGTTTGGTCGTGGAGCTTTCACAGTTCTTCTGAACGACATCATCGGCACCAACTTCAGATAGAAGTGAAGTGTTCGACTTTTTCCATATGCGTTTCGCAGCTTGTTCTGTACACCTCGAGGTGTACAGAACTTCATCCAAATCATCCACCTGAGCTACAAATCTTCTCCACCATCTCAATACCCAAACAATGCCCAACATGGTCATTGAAAGGTGACTATATATCAATCGATAACTCTAATGTTAAACTTTCGGTTGTCTGGTCACCGATCGTTACCAGAACTTTCGTTTAAAATTATTGACTACATAAGACGAACTTGCCTTCAGGTAGATGTTTGCGTAGTGGAGGGTCTGTTAATTAACCATTTCAAGCCTGGAATTAATGTTCATTAACAGTATAATCAATCCTTTAATTTACTATGGTCTTAACACTCTATTTTGTGAGTTGTTTTGGATATATGTTCATCTCCTGTTTATAGTTGTTATGTAGTCACAATTGATTGATCACTGGGTGGCGATCAATGTCATGCGTGTCTAGTCCTTATTGGTGCAGATCGAATGCTATCGACCATGTTGCGATGTGACCACCAGTCTAGGTGACTCGACATTGTGGGCACTATATATTGAGATTTGATGGTGGTTGGAGGTAGTCGACAGGAAACCCTGGACCCGGGTTTCGTACTACTTGGCACTCGTCAGCAAGGTGTACCTGTAATCTTGAGGGAACTGGTGCTCCCTGGCGGATTCGATCTCGTGTCACCCAGCTTCACAGTCAGAGACGTTACCATTGAGCTATCCGAGCCACAACTGACCTCCTGTAGGACTGAGATGTAATCACAATTAATTGATTACTGGGTGGCGATCAATGTCATCCTTGTCTAGTCCTTATTAGTGCAGATCGAATGCTATCGACTACCTTCAACCACCATCTAATCTCAATGGTTGTTATGTGGATAATTATCTTTCATATATCTCTTTCAGGTATTGTTTTCACTTTTCTTACCTTTCGAATATAAATTAACTTTATTTATTAACTGAATACGTGACTGAACATTTGAAATCATTATTAATAATGTAGTAATTTCTATCTTACTATAAACCACTAATATTTAAACTAATTATAAATTCAATTGTAAAACCCTAATAAATGAAATGATTAGAGTGAACATTTTCTTCATTGAATTGATTTTATTCCTTTTTTTAAATAATAATAATAATAATTACATATTTATTTAATCAATAGTTTGAAGTATTTCTCCACTTTTAATCGTTCAATAAATCTACTTTTAAACGAAAATCATTATTACAATTAAGTGTCATTGATTAATTTAATTGATCTATTCATTTTGTAATTTGTTTATGAACATTTTATTAAATTATTTAATCATAAATTTAATTATTTTTTTCTCTCACTAAAATATATCGATTTATGCCAATTTATTTATTATTATCAGGAGAGGTTTTGTGGAGAGTTTAGTAATTTTAGTAGTTGAAATTATGAGTCAATTGAAGCTAAATCATCATGGCAAACCTGGAAGCATTAGATGGCCGTTTCGTCCTAGTATGGGACTCCTCAGAAGTGCGCGTCCACGATCCCGCACCCCAAGAGATTCGAACATAGGACTTATCAGTATCATGCGCGAGCGCTTAACCATTAGACCACTGAACTGGCCGGCATCCAACGATATTAATGTCTAACTTCAACCAATCTACGAAATTGCGCCACCGTATACCATTGTCTTCAGTGAGTTGATATCTCACAACAGACCTGGTTGAACTCCACTGGTGACGGCTTCTAACTAGAATTCTTGAAGTGAGTCACTAATGAGCAGATGATTATTATCAGAAGGGGTTTTGTGGAGATTTCAGTCCAGTACTTCCAGGTTGGTCTAGCTTCAAATGACTCATGATTTCAACTATAGAAATTATTTATTATTGATCATACTTAATGTAGATACTAATTATCATTTGAACTCACCAGACCAATGAAAGTTGACTGCAAATTATGTTATTGTGCAAAAAAGAATAAGCTAAAAAATAATCTTAGTAACTATAATTTAAGTAGTTTCAATGTTTCTTTACCCGCTCCATTTGGGTTGAATACATGAAGCTTAGAGCATCTGAATGTCTAAGTATAGCACTTTTCTACAGCAAATGATAATCATGTGCAATGAATGAATCGGAGTTTTTATCATAAACTAAGCTTCTGTAAAATATTCTCTGAATACTTTTAAGTTAGATTTTCTTGCTACTGTTATTTTTCTAAATCTCAAAGGTTGATACTTGATTTAATGACACATTCTCACATAATCGAATCATAGATAATTTGAAAACAGTTAATAATACTATGAGTATAAGTACTGAATTCGAACTGCTGACCTGGTAGTTGGAATTCAGACTTCTTGACCTTAGACACTTAAATCCATTACGAAACATCACCTTCTTAAGGTTTACCATTGATATTTCTGACGTTCAGTATAAGAGTAATGGAAATCGTTGAATATTATAGTAATGACTTTGATCATGAAATAAAACTTAATATTACTGGTGTTTCTTTGTTTTTATTTTTAAAATAATTAATAATTTCTATCATAAAAGTGCTCTTCAAAAGCATCTAATATTTGATTATAGATCATCAACATTTATTTAAAAAATTACTCTTCTGATTTCTCAACTGTCAGCCTGTGTTCCAATATTAATTGTTAAAACGTAAAATTTGCCTAAATACAACTTATGTTTATACATAATTACATAAAGAAGGTTGCTAAGCAATAATATTTTTCTACAATATATATTATCTTGAATTAATGTCCTTAATATTGTTTAAAACTGTCTCTTGTTTAAATTTCTTCATACTATCTGTATGTCTTACATCTAAAATTTGTTTTTAGTAAACCGATTATAATAATCAACCAATCAAATCAAGTTGTGGTAGCATTACATTGACCAATCAAATGACAGAAACAGAATCATTTAAATTTCTGCGAAATAGGATGAATATATAACAAGTGAATTAACATTTAATATACTATGCATTATCCAGGAATAATTTGACTTCTTTTGAGTTCATATTATTCTTATAACTAATGTTATTAACTCGGAATTTATTAACAAATGGATATGTAACAATTTCAGATTACCTATTTTGAGTATATTTAATAAGCAAATGAGAAAAGCTCGTTTTTACTTTTATTTCATATATGATGGCTGGTTCACGTAGAGGATTAGTAGCTCCACAAAATATATTTCTTGAAACAGTCTTAAGACGATTTAGTACACCACGTAAGTTTTCGAATTTTACTTAACATAAACTAATATTAAACTAGGCTTAATATTTTATATGTAATATAACTCTTGTATGGCTAAGTTTATATAGAAGTACTTTTGTCTAGTCAAATCAGGCTAAGTAAAGAAAGGAGATAATTTAAAGAAGGAATACAATTTAAAACTTTTATAAACAGTTAAGTAAAATTTATTCAGATACTTTGCACTATTAAGTAGAGATATTCTCAATATTTCAGTAGTTTGAGATTATTTACTATTACTTCATATGCATGATAATTTGCCTATAAAGTACTGTCTTGACGATAACTTATATCGTCGTTTGAGCACAGCTCAGAAATTATTGAAAATCAGTGTGTTCTTTGTAGCTTTATATTTTATATTGTGAATCAGTATTGTTGTACATTAACACTACGTTTAAAACTTTCATTTCCCATGTAAATATCACCAAAAATATCTAATTACACCATACATTTAACGTATTGCTTCAAAAAACTGCCGTGAATGTACGTTTATGTTTTTAACAAAAGAGTAGGAAGGAACTAGATCAAATTATACATAGTTTAACATAGATAGGAATCCATAATTATTATTTTCAAATCATTAACGAAAATACAAACCTCCTTTGTCTATTCAAAAATAGTTTGTTCACACCTCAAACCTACCGTGGTAGTATTACCTTATTATCCAGAGTGATGAGATTCCAAATTATTTTCACAATATTTTCTTTATTATCCTTGTCTCCTCTTACCCCCAATTTTCAGTCTAGCTGACCTTTTATTTCTATATACAAATGTTCTTAACAAGTATATGTGTAATCAGACTGTTCGAAATGCATTGAGCTAATATATCACATAGTTCTGATAATATTCGTCTTTTTATTACACTATCGAAATTTATCAAAGGGACTAATTGCTTCAAAATAAAATTGATTTTACATCACATTTTGTTTTCCGTTCCAAATGGTCAGGCTTCATCAGGTGCTTTTATGTTTATATATCTCATTATCTTTAATGATTGTAATTACCAATGTTACTTCGTAGAATTAAATAGTTGAAATTTTACCAATTTTCCCATGGTTTATCAATCAACTTTAAAATAAAAACATTTTGAAAGTTACTATTTTGATCAATAAAATTGGTGTTTTTAAAATATAGACACATTTATTTCTGGATTTGAGGCCTTGACAAATCCTTCTATTACTTTATTTATAAACAAGTTTACTCTCTTTTATGTGACAAACACACAACTCAATTTATGTGACCTTAAAACGTGTAGTAACATATTGAAAATGCCTAGTATAAATAATACATTTAAGATATTTCGGATATTGCTTTGGTTTTGAATACAATATGAGTTTCGTTAGATCTATCTTATAAACTCACTGGAAATAAGATATTGGACTTAATTTATATGCAAAGTAGAGCGACATGTTTAAGTGAACAGTATTGTTTCAAATTAGACCCTTTGGGTTCTCTCCAATATACAGTAATATTTGCATGTATATTAGGACATATCACGGCAATTTGAGTTAATGATAATTATGGAGTAAATAATACTAGTAGTGATAATCAATAAGCACAAATTGATAGACGAAAAATGTAATTGTAATAATAATAATAATAATAATAATAATAATAATAATAATAATAATGATAAACAGCATGATAAAATGAACATATATTTCAACATACGATTCACTATTTGTCGATTGATGCCCAGCTAAATACTGTTAGTTTATTATTATTCAAGAAAAGTTTTCTAAAAACATGTCAAATGTTAATTTCCGTTAAAAACATGTAACACTTTTAATGAACTCAGCAGTGCACATCCGTGAATCCGACACTAAAGGTCTTAGGTTCGAGTCCCACTTAAAGGATCGTAGATACATATTTCTGAGGAGTCCCACACTAGGACAAAAAAGACATCCAGTGATTTCAGACATTCGAAGGTAGTCTACCTTAGATTAACTTGTTAATTCATTACAACAGAAAGTTGATATATTTTTACATTTTGAGATTATGAATGATACAATACAGTTAACATTATACAAAAGTTGACCTTATATTAAAAAAGAGACTTCCCCAGTAATCGAAAAAATAGTATTTATATAGTATAGGACCATCAGAATACATTCAACTGAATATCATAATCTTTCTATAATGATCCTTTTTGTTTTCAGAGAATAGTTATTTTTTGTAATTAATAATCTACTTAAGATTTTAGGGAAGTTGTAAAGGTATATAATAAAGAAGTTTGATTTATTATAAACATTATGATTTAATTTTTTCTTTATCACTCATTTAGGTGAAAAAAAACATAAGAAAGTAGGGCGTTTCACTTTTAGACGATGAAGTTGATTTGTTATTTTCTTTTATTATCTAAATCGTCTGTAGAACTGAATGTAATCTGTACGTATATATAGTAACTTATTAATAATAATAATAATAACACTAGTTTCGCAGATAAATCTATTTCTAATTAGATAATATCACTTCTTTTCTTGCTTATTAAAACACTGTGTATTTAAATATGCTTTAATATACTTTTTTTTAAAAAAGAGGTCTCTTTGGATTCTACGATTACAAATTTAAACTGACAGCTCATTTTTAATTGAAGAAAAGAAAAATAATTAAGTGAAGAAAACCTTCTTCTTAACAATATCATTTACTCATATTAATTATCATCCAATTGTTTATGAACTCATTATAATTAAGATTATTAAGCTTTACTGATTGAAATCATGAGTCAATCGAAGCTAGATCACCATGGAAAACCTGGAAGTATTGGATGACTATTTCGTTCTAGTATGGGACTCCTAAGCAATGCGCATCCACGATCCCGCACCCCACGAGATTCGAACACAGGACTTATCAGTCTCGCGCCAGGCGACCAACCATCTGCTCACTAGTGACCGACCTCAAGAGGCATTTCCTGGAGTTCTAGTGAGAAGCCGTCACCAGTGGAGTTCAACCAGGTCTGTTGTGAGATATCAACTCACTGAAGACAATGGTATACGGTGGCGCAATTTCGTAGATTGGTTGAAGTTAGACAATAATACCGTTGGATGCCAGCCAGTTCAGTGGTCTAATGGTTAAGCGCTCGCGCGTGATACTGATAGGTTCTGTGTTCGAATCTCTTGGGGTGTGGGATCGTGGATGCGCGTGGCTGAGGAGTCCCATGCTAGGACGAAATAGTCATCCAGTGCTTCCTGGTTTTCCATGATGGTCTAGCTTCAAGTGACTGATTATTTCAGTCAGTAAGGCTGAATAATCTCAACCAGTGAAATTTCTAAAATCTCCACAAAACGCCTTCTGATAATATTCAGCTTTAGTTAATGATTTCATCACACAGAAGACTTTCTATACATAATTTTGAATGACTAAATTGAATGTAAAACTAGAAAACCTGAAGTGAATTTATTGAGAAGGATATCCCTCATGCTTAGTACTACTAAGATATTTAAGCATCGTAAATGTTTTCAGGTTCCTATGTTTGTATTCAATAAAAAAAGAATATAAAACATTTATTTTATGCTTATGTCATAAGCGTCTGTTGACTGAAATGAATCCCATCTGTTAGTATAGTAGTGAACGAGAATACGGGTTGGAACAACCGAATGTATTTCAATACAAAATTACAGAATCTCCAAGTAAAATCTGAGAAACATACAGTAAATACTTCATTTGCAATATGTTAATCAATCGCTTCAGATTTCATTGTTCTTTCGTTTCTACACCAATCATTTTGTGTTTTCGTTTTCTTCTCTTTGATCTTTGACGCCAGACCTTTCATTTTTGATTGATTATACATACTACTTATGTCTGTCGACATCAGTAGCACATACCACAGTATTATTAAGAACTCCCACAAATATCACACTTAAAATTATTTGATTAAATTATTCTTTTTCCAACAACCATTCGATGCATGATGCCTTAAACTTATGTGTTTCATAATGTATCTACAATTCAGTTATGATATATTTTGATTATAAAACTATTTGGTTTCAATCTGTTTAATCGGATAATTTTTTAAAAACTTGTTTATATCTACGTGGGGGTGATTTAAAAGAAGATACATCAATGATATTCATGTAGACAGCAATAATCAATATTAACTGAACTAATAAAATATCGTAATCTTGAACTATCGAAATATAGAGAAGTCTAAAGGATTTTAAATAGCTTACCTTTTAGTTCTCTTAGTAATAAATAGACATATTGAAACAAATTCAATTTCTCGATCATTTAAATAGATCATAAATAACAATAATATCTAATATCTAATTAAGGGTGATGACGATCAATCCATGAAATCGGAAGTTAGGTGAATTTTAAAAATAAGAGAATTAATAATTTTTTTAGAGAAAAAAGGGAATTATGTAAACATAAAACCGTGTCCGAGTTAAGGTTCGAAATATATATATAACGTAAGTGACTGAAAATGAAATAGAACGATCCTCATCATGGGAAAAAATAAGCTATATATGTCTGTTTTTTACACATAAATAACTCACTCTTGTCTATACGGACGACTTGTAATATATATTCGCTTAATTCACTTGGTATTGCTTGCTTGTATCTTCCAATTGTTATTTAGGACTGCGATTGATCAGTCTCATTTTGCCATATGTGTATCCTCTGTGGACTGCCTCGATACTGCCTTAAGTCGCGAGTATTATAAGCAAAAATGCATGGGGACTAGCAGTGGAATCCAGGACGTGCAGTTGGTCCCATATGAACATCAACTCCGGGATGCAGGCACATCCGGCTGAGAAGTCCTAAATAAGAGGAAACGCGCGTCCTGGACTTCACTGCTAGCCGCTACTCGTCTTTGCCTATAATGCTCGCTACTTAAAGCACTATCAAGGCAATCCGCACAGGATGCACATATTCTAACAAGAGACTGATCACTTGCAGTCCTAAACATCAATGGGAAGATTCAAATAAACATTATCAAATGAATTTAATTAAGCATGATGTTACATTTACAAATAACAGAAAAACCGAATAAGAAAACAGCGAACTTTTTCCTAAAATACCACTGTACCACAAACAAATTTATTTATTTGGTTCATCGTAAACTAAGAGTTATTGAAACATTGTTTGGAAATATTTCTTCAATACAAATCTTGAGTGCACAAAAGATATATGAATTATATTTCTAAGTCAGGATTAAGTTCAGTCGCAAATTCTGTTTTACAATACGAGTAAATCGAATTAAACCACAACATGTTCTGAATGTGTTATTTTGTCAATATTACTTCATTCACTACAAATGCTGACCGAGTTTGATCAAAGTCATTTGAACAGTGTGCATTTCTGGCTTAACTATACTTAATTGAAGGTTAATTCAAATAACGTCTCACAGGGACTCTTTAATGTTTTCTGACAAGTTAGTCAGCGGGCAGGAGCTCATGATTTTATTTTACAGGGTTTGAATTAGCCCGTTATTTATATGCTTGAATGGGTCTTAATTAATATTAGCATATCTGCATAGTTTTTGAATTGCTTCAATTTATTCCACCTATTATACAAATTCATACGTTATAGAAAGAGGATTCTTGGTAATTGTTACTAATATCATAGATTATCAGATAAATGATTTAGTAAAGCTGTGTACCGCAGAATATTATTTGTTGATTATATGAAAACTCTATCTCTTAGTTATTACAAGGAGAATACTTGGTCTATAATTATATTTTATATAAAGCCAATCAGGTTGATATTTGATGTACAGTTTAACATAGAAGCTAGTTGGGAGTTTGAAATCTTCGTTTTAAACGTATGTTAAAACAGGACCGAATATTTTCCAAAAACCGACCCAAGCTGGGAAACCATTAAAGGAGCAGTGAACAGCCATCTAGTCATAATGTAGTGAACAGAACACCAGTGGGGAAAATCGAATGTATTTGACAGGAAATTACAGAACTTGTTAATAAAGTCAATTTGTAAAATGACCATCAGTTGTCTCAAATTGACCCAGACTTCATTGTTCTTGCATTTTCATAAAAATTGCATTCTGTTTCCATTGCTTATTGTTCGATCCTCTTGTCTCTCTGCTGCTAGACATTCTTTTTCTGACTAACGTCATATACTACTTATGTCGATATAAGTAGCACACTACAATAGTATAAGACTCGTTAATAATGCACATCCGTAACTCTGCACATAGGAATCGAATTCAGGACATACAGTCCCATGGACAAACACTTAACCTTTAGACCACTGAGCCGGTATCTATATGTGTACAAGTCTAACTTCAATCAACCCGCTTTATTTCTCGACCATCTATCATTCTCTTCAGTGGGTACCCTCCCCATACCCAACACATTTTAGCTTCACTGTCCACGGCTTCGTACAAGAACTCCTGAAAGTTTCTACAAATATTTGAACTCACACACTGAAATAGAATCCGTGAACGAATGTAATTGGCGACTACTTTAATTTGAAAAGAAATTCTACTTTATTTTTAGTTCAAGTTAAGACCATATAATTAGCTGGCTTATAGATTTCTACAATTTTTATTCACAGTTTATGCTATCAACATGAGACAATATTGATAATGATAATAATACTTAAACAGTAAAGTTATGATCTTTGTTTTTATTACAACGTCTAAGCACAAATTATATGCTGGTTTGACATACACTTTTACTAATTGCATTTTCAAAATACTTAATAAGTAACAAATTGAGATGATCGAATTTTTGTCACTTGATACACTATCAGGAAATAATTTGCGGTCTCAGAGGAAATGATCATAGAAATAAAGCACTAATTCACGTTTTATCAGTTTGTGGAGCTTTAGACTTCTTTCACCATTTTAAAATGTACTATCCTTGCATAATATTTTTTATCAGTAATCTTTAAACCGTCACATACTAATCAGGTAATTGCATTTTGAAGTTAAATGTCAAGTTAATGAAATTAAAACGGATAGTAATATCTCAAATGATAAACTAACTGATATTTAACACCGTTAAATAGGTTCTCAAACCCAAGTACCTGATTATAAGGTATACACTATCTTCAGTTTTCAAAATTTATTCGAAGTTACCAAATTGTGAAATCAACGCAAAAGTAACACAAACATAGATCAGCTCAAATCTTTGGGCTTCCGCGTTTTAGACTTGATAGAACTGAGTAGTTACGATCCTTAACTTTGCGTACTTAAGAGCAATTATGAAAGGTTTTCAACTGCCGAATACTGAAAACCTCAAACTTAAACACTTTATTTGTTGGCATATTAGCCTCTTTGAGAAAACAAGAGACGAATATATTAAAGTTCATTCCCTATCAGAAATGAGTGACCAACCCTGATAATGCAAAAATTATTCACATAATCTATTTTTGAATGATTAGAAATCGAGTCTATGTTACATGGAGTATTACTGCAATACTAAACAAGTGACGCTGCGAATCTTTCTCATTACCGAAATTTGTAGTAATGAATAAAGTTATTAATATTATTATTTTAAATATCAGTTTATCCCTCACCTACAGAGACTAATTTCCTTTCTATATTTTTTGTATTTATAATTCATAAAACACAAAATTGTAAAAAAGAAACTGGATTATTAATTGCCAATGCTAGAATAGTTGATCATCCAATAATATATGTCAATGAAAGTTTTACTAAAATGACAAATTATACAAGTCGTGAAATGATGCATCAAAATGCTATATGTCGTCAATTACATGGTAAAAGAACATCAATTAATTCAATTGAAAGATTGAAAAATGCATTAGATGAAGGTTATTTTGATCAAGTTGAAATTACTTTATATAAAAAGAATCGTGAGTTAGTTTATCATGAATATTGTTATCTACTTAATTGTTAATTTGTTATTATATTACATTAATTTGATAACTTAACAATTAAATTCTTTTTATTCGTAAATATTTAAAACATAAAGAATACCATTTACAAAATATTTTACAACAGTATACTGGATATGATAAAGTGTACACTCTTTCAGTGTTTACTATATTATATCTATGAAGATGCTAACTTAAAAAAACAGTGTGAAATTCAACATAATTATTGTTATTATCAGAATGTGTTTTTGTTATATCCGAGTGGAGATTAAACTACAGGTAACTTCCGAGGACTATTCATGGACTAATATTCTATAAATATTCTTATTGTATAACTATTCAACACTTACATTATGTATATTTATATCCCTCTTATGACAAGCTTTATTTTGGCCTATAATTTATTATTGTACGATTTACGGTTCTTAAGTTATGTTCAGTTTATTAACTACTGCCTCCCACATTCACAGCCACTTTTTGGGCTTATTTGTGTACAAATATTATTTCCTATTTTATGGTACGTTGTGGTCTGTGTGATTGATATATAAACCAAGTATGCCTGAAATAAACGATCTGCTCTGATTCGGAAGCTGGTATCTTGTTCTGGACTCAAGTGGAAGGGCTCATAGGACATAGGACCAATAAGGACACTAAACTGCCCACACCGGTTGAACGTCATTGGTTGGCCTAGTGTGAAGATTCGTATAAGTCGTATTCGGATTGGTAGATAAGTCGTGTGATCGAAAAATCAGACATCACAAGGCCATAACAGTTTTGTGGAGATTTTTAGAAATTTTCACAGATTGAAATCATGAGTCAGTTGAAGCTAGACCCGAGTGGTGCGGGTTCGTGGATGCGCACTGCTGAGGAGTCCCATACCAGGACGAAACGGCCGTCCGGTGCTTCCAGGTTTTCAATGGTGGTCTAGCTTCAACTGACTCATGATTTCAATCTGTGATAATTATTGTTATCAGTATGGGGTTGTGGAGATTGATAAGTTTTCTGATTGAGATCATGAATTGACTGATATTAGACCATCGTTGAAATTGTGGAAGCACTGGACGGCCGTTTCGTCTTAGTATGGGATTCCTCAGCTAAGAAATCAGAGGTCATGGGTTCAACTCCCGCAATAGGGATCGTGATGTGCACTACTGAAGAGTTCCGTACTAGAACGAAACGACCGTTCAGTGCTTCCAGGTTTTCAATGGTGATCTAGCACCAATAGATTCATGATCTCAATCAAAAGAAATAATCATTGTTATTTCGATGAGCTTTTCTTTGAGATATTATAGTGTGTAATAAGTAAATCCCAATGGTAACTAAAACTGAAATGATAATAAATTACAAATTAATAAATTGATTCTTTAAAAAATATAATATTTTCATATTCCTGATATTCAAATCTTAGTTGAATAGATAATGTTGCCGAAATAACTTGTGAAACGAATGTCTGAACATTATCTTCATTGATGAATGTATAAATGAACACTAAAATAAACATCTATTTAGCTAACATGTTTTAAATAGAAGGTAAAATCTATCCTAGATTATAGTACTAGATACTATTCAAAGTATGTTGTACTATAAAATTGAGAATAACCAATATAGCCATTAATATTCTTAGAATGATCATTGATAAAAAGAACAGATGTATATGCATCAATGAATCTCTATTTTCATTTATTAGACTCTAATTTTTGGTAGCAATTTAAAGAAGTTGTGAAATCCAGTTTCATAGTTTTATAAAGTAACGCGAAATTCAATGTTTTCCAACTTTCCAAAAGAAATTAGATAACTTGTTATTTAATTATGATGATTGATATCACTCACAGTATGAAACATCAGTATATAAAGCTTCAAAAAATAGTTTCTGATATGGGATTGTTTTTTTTGCTCTTTGAAATAGAATGGGGTGACGATGAGAGTTTAATCATCCTTTTAAATTGCTATTTTGACCCTGATAATTTTGATCAAAATGATAATTTATGGTCTTGTTATAGGCCAAAGTAACCAATTGTTATATCTTGTGACCGCCGATTAATGTGCAGTGGATTATCGATCGGACCAAGGACGCGTAAAACAAGTGCGAGCAGTCTAGAGACTTGATTGGCCCTGCTTTCCGCCTAGCCCAGCCAGTTAGATCCAGAACACAAGTCTAAGCCTCTGCGATATGAATCATTATATTTCAAACATACTCTATTTATATACCAATCAAACAGACCACATCGTACCATAAAATAGAAAATAACATTTGTACAATATTTGGCCAACAGGAAAATGACACGTGAAATAAATATTGACCTATAGAAAAATGATACCATTTCAAGTTCAAGGATGGCATTAGACTTAACAGAATAATTTTTGGGATATTTTTCTGAATATCTCAACGGGTATCATGGAGTTTTCTACCATTCAATCGTAAAAAGGGTACAATTTTGTATGCTTGACTTCGGGCCACATTCTTAATCTTAGGGTAAATGACTTCAATGTACAGTGTTGATTATTCGTTTATTAATGAATAAGTAATCTACGATAACGATATCACATACTTTGTATAGTAAGAAAATAACACTGACTGTCTGATACTATTTGACTAGTAATTGTATGGTTTTGTTTTCTGATAGCTATACAATGAGGATTCACATCTCACTATTATAAGACTTCATTCCTTTTAGACAATCCATTAATCAGTTGAGGTATCTAGATGACCATCAGTAAAATAAATAGGTTAAAATTGCACACAACTCTGTCAAATGAAAAAAAGAAAACTTTTGAATTAATATAAGATGCAAGTTGAAATTATAAGAACCATAATTTAAAAAATTATTTCTGTATTCATTGTTTACTTTCGCAATTTGGATTTTTTTTCATTATATAATTAAATATAAAATAATGTCAGAAAAGGGTTTTTGTGGATATTATAGTAAGTTAGTAGTTGAATTCATGAGTCAATTATAGCTAGACCACCATAGAAAACCTGGAAGCACTGGACGGCTGTTTCATCCTAGTGTGGGACTCCTCAGCAGTGCACATCCACAACCCCTCCTGCGAGATTCGAACCCAGGTTCTATCGGTCCGGTGACAAATATTTCATTTATCATGCTACAGAACAGACTGGTGAATGTAGAAACCTTTGAAGTATGTCACTCAATGTAAGAGATGTTTTAGTGCTTATAGAGAAACAGACATTTATGAGAGAATGAAAAAAGACTGTTCGCCATCAGAGTATTAATTATCGTCTAAATAGTTTAATAAAAATGTTAGTACCTTGAAGATTCTTTCAATGTATTCATTAGTATAACATTCATGTTTCATTAGTGATATTCAGTTACACGCAATTTTACATATTACTAATTTCATTAGACAAAAATAGCTATTTCTAGTGTTAATTATCGTGATATTTTACAAAACAAGGCATGTATTAATGGATTTGACAATGTTATATGTTAAAAATGGTAAACGTTTGCATCTGTTACGACACAAAATTGTGTTATTTATAAATTAAAAAGATCATTTAATAAAGACCAGAATGATTTATAGTACTGTCAAGACATAATCAGTATGATAGTAATCTAACAAAATTATAAAAAATCGTATGGGCAAAATACATAGTAGGAGAATTTAATCTTGTTAGTCGAGGTAATAATGCTAATAATATCAGAAGGGGTTTTGTGGAAATTTTAGTAATTTCAGTAGTTGAAATCATGAGATATCAGCTCGCTGAAGACAATGGTGGATGTGTAGCTCAACTTCGTGGATTAGTTGAAGTTAGAAATTAACACTGTTGAATACCGGCTTAGTAGTCTAGTGATTAGGCTCTTGAGCGCAAGACTGATAGGTCCTGTGTTCGAATCTCGCGGGGGGGGGAGCGGGATCGTGGATGCCCACTTCTGAGGAGTCCCATACTAGGGCGAAACGGCCATCAAATGCTTCCAGGTTTTCCATGGTGATCTAGCTTCAAATAACTCATGATTTCAATATTAATATCGTTGTGTGATTATCTACAACTCTATTGTTTCTCCATTCTTACTTTTATGGAAATAGTTCCCATGGATCATATGAGTATTGATCAAACTGACAGTTTAAAAAAAAAATTGAGTTCAATTTATATGGATGACATTAAATATGAAAAAAACAAACAAAAAATTGTAATTAAAAAAGAAAACTGTTTAACCCTCATCTCTTTAAAATTTCAATACAAACATTAAAATGAATTCTTTTCAATTTCCAATTTTTATTATTATCATTATTATTCACATTAGATCATTCAATGAAATATTTTCATTTGATTATCTTTTAATAGAATAGTAAAGTGTAACATAAAATTATGGAAAGTAAATGTTTCCTATAAAAAAAATGATTAAATAATATTTTCATATTGGCTTTTATAATTATTAACTATTGAAGATAAACCTTCTATGGGTTTACTAATCTTTAATTCTATTCAAAATTTCTTCTAATATTGATAGATGATTATTATTATTTTTTACTCTGGAACGTTAATGTCCTCACTATTGATTATCATTGTTCCATTCTTTCATAGAACCTCATTTCAAAGTTCAATTGATTTATGGTTATATTTATTGATTAGCTGTTATTTTATTATGATTATGAAAATCGTTAAGTTTGAATGAATATATTCATAAATATATATGGTTGTGAGCCAACAGCAGTGTATTCCCCGTTTTATATCTAATCAGGGTAATATAATTTATGTGAAACCCAAACAAATATTACTATAGATTTTTTATTGAGATCATGAATTGACGAATTGAAAGTTCTGGAAGTCCTGGATGATCGACGTTCTTGGTTTCGAATCCTGTGTGTGGGATCGTGGATGCGCATTGCTGAGGAGTCCCATTCTAGGATAAAACGGACGTCCAGTGCTTTCAGGTTTTCAATGGTGATCGAACATTCATTGATTTGTGATCTTAATCAAAAACTTAACATTTTTCTCCATTCTACACTAATATTATTATAGATATCAAAATTATAATTATTGCTATTATTAATGTTGTTTCCTCTTGATGAACTTGAGTAGAAAAAATGTTTCTGAAATATTAAAGTTTTTCTATTCAGTTGCTTGTTTTATTCTGAATTAATTTTTCTCATTAAAATGCTAATTTATTTATTTCGATTTAAGCATACATCGTTTATAGTCAAGTAAACTCCAAATGATAATAATAATAATAATAATAATAATAATAATAATAGTAATAATAAATACCTTTATGACAAAATGTTTTGGTCAAATGCTTTTTCTCTCTACATGCAGCGAATGATCTTTTTTATTTGGCATCTCCGCTGCATAATCTAGATGTTCGAAGTGAGCATGAAAGGGTTAACGCTTCAAGTAAACATAATACAATCGTAGAATATTGTAATATCTATGTGTATTAAGTACTGAATTTCCGGTTGAGTAGTGTTTACTCAATAAACATTAATTTATGACTTTCGATACATTCAACTTACCATCAAATTATTAACAATATGGGAAAAAATCAATATTAACGTTTTGGTTAATACGTCATTTTGAAAACTCTTCTGTACAAATGTAGTCAAGTTCCCACCTTTGATCAGGTTTGAGAAGTTAATGGGTACCACTGACTAAGAGATTATAGTCATATACTGAGTGAAACAAATACTAAACCTGGAAGCAGCTGTGATTATATTAGATTATAAATTGATTGAAAATGAAAATATGAATGAGTGAATTTCAATCCATTGAATGAATAGTATGAGCTTTAAACTGTGATTTTTACGGTCTGCAATGGAGTTATAGGTTTTAAATATTAAACAGTACCAAGTTAGGGTGAGAAAGCTATGCTATCCTTCTTAGGCCCAGATGTTTTTTGCATGATGTCAGCTCTCAGTGAAAACTAACTTCATGATAAGTGATTACTACAAACCCCTAAACCAAATATTATTTAATTAATAAATCTCAGTAATTTATACACATTAGTGGATTTGTAAAAACACTGACTCCTTAAAAGAATCTCAGTTCTACACATTAGTCTTACTAGATTATTCCTCCTTAAATTTGGAAACCATATAAATAATTTAAAAAGCGTTTATCATTATGCTCAAATCGATCGCTGAAATGGAGACGGAGTGAGTGTGTCAATATATCTAAATTTTTAGTGTTTGGGAAATTACATGTGTGTTCTGAGTTTGTTTGGGCTGGTACTATGTCAAGCCCTATAGGTTACTCTAGCCTCTGGACAGATTAATCTATTCATTCTTCTCAAGCCACATTTTTACCCTTATTCGTTTATCAACCTCGACTGTTTTTATGTGAGCATATGTGTGTACATTTATTATCTTACTCATCACATGTGTGTAACTTATTTTTGTGTGACTATAAATATCGATTCACGCATTGTTAAATTGAGTCGGCTTAATCCCTTCCTTCATTGAGTGTCGTTTTGTTTTACTTCGCCTTAGGATCGACGATCAAATGAAATACACGTATTCGAAATTCACCTCCATACTTGACTTATTTAATTCTGTTGTTCACTAACGCCATTTACAACGATTATTTTATACGCGGATTGACGACATGTATGTTTCAATAACAATCATTCATACGAACAATATGGAGCCAGATCTTGGGCCACTGAAAGCCACATACTTCAAAGTTAAAAGAACACACACTACAGAAGTCGAGAATAAAAGTTCAACACGTCTTTAACAGCGTAACTCTCTGTCGTCTACTTGATAATGGATTCTATGTTGACAATTCAAAACCCTTCTAAGTAAACAATAAATTAATTACTTTTAATTTATTGGGCCTTTCCAAAACCATCGATATAAAAGGGTTAAATCGTACTCGTAAATTCAAAAAGATGCTGGGGTTAGTCTTACCCTCCACTGGTAGCATTAGTTTCCAAAACTTAGTAACGTAACATCTAATTTCGTGCTCTTGATTGTGAATACTCTTTATTCATTATTGGATATTATATGAGCTTCACTCCTCTTATTTAGCTCATCAATCCATTTTTTCACTATATATATGACTTTTAACACCAAAGATGAATGTTCGTGGGTCTTAAAGTTTATCTTCCAGAACATTGAGACTAGTTAGAAAATATAGACTTTATATATATATATATATATATATATATATATATATATATATATATATATATATATATATATATATATAATGACCGCGTAAACACTTCTTATGATCTTCTCAAACCTACTGGTCTTTTTTGCAATCTTCACTGACGAAAACTCCTCTATGCATCCGTCTGTAGATCATTGTCGCCCTTATTTCTAGAATGTAAAGAATCCATTGACAAAATAAATGAAACATTCATAGTCACCTAAGACTGTTGATTTTGTTTTAGTAAAAATAGTCGATTAGGTTTGTCAATAAGTTATTAGACTATAAATCTTGAATATTTCAGACTGTTGTATATTATAATAATTTTTTTCACATAACATACCCACTCCCGACCTTACATTTTACTAGATAATTATTAATTAGTTCTTTGTATACTTCAGGTTCAATGATTTGGGTTATTATGTGTGTGGCTCCAGTTGAAAATGATAAACATGAAATACCTCTATATCTTATTTTATTTTATGATATATCACCACTCAGACAACCACTGGACGACGAGACACTTAGTGGAAGTAAGTTTTTTATAATTATTAATTATTTAGACATTATTTCTATTTCTTATAAAATTAGTGGATTGAAATTCTGTGAATCAAAGATATCTCTTCGTATGGAGCGACAGATTCCAGTCAATATATTTATAGGTTATTCGTAAATTAAGTTAGCTATCCTTAATAGAAGATTTAGAGTGAAATACACTAAGCCCTTTGAGTAAATAACTTAACAGTTCATGGATTTTTGTTGTTGTGTAGTGAATAAGAACACGAGTGGGAACAATAGAATAAAATTGACAGGAAATTGCAGAACATCTGACTAAAATTTAAGAACCATATAGTAAATAGTTGATTTGCAAAATATCAATCCATCGTCTCAAACTTGACTGTTCCTTTCGCAAATATCAGTTCATTGTCTCAGATTTCATTATCCATGCATTTTCATACCAATTGCGTTCCGTTTCCATTCCTTCCTTATCAATCTGCTACTGAAATACATTCTATGCCTGACCATCGTTATATACTACTTATGTGGGTATAAGTAACCCACACCACAGTTGGGTATTAAATAGTGAAGAGAAAAAATATTCATCGTCAGAATTCAATGGAACTAGTGACTCAGGGATTGAACTTCTCAATTTTTCTCGTCTACGCAGCAAAAGAATAGAATATTAAAAACTAAGTTTGTGCTTATTCCTTTGTAAATTATCACTTCATCATTAGATGTGATATCTAAACTTAAATTAAAACTTCTTCTTTTAAGGACTGGACCTCAAAGAGCAGTTACTCTTAAAACGCAACCCCCTATCCCAACTGCCAAAGTATTTTTCCCGTATTTTAATTTTTCTAAACTCATAATGAAAGCATAGCTGAAAGCAGATGCCCGGAAATATTAAATAGATTGATTATTGGTGACATCTGCTTTTCAGTCATTATTTGTTATGTATATATTTGTCGAAAGTGGTATTTTACACTGAAATAAGAAATATTTCTTGTGTGATCGTGATGAACAATGTCAGTCACTGTGGATCCCATTAACAAGAAGTATAATAAACTAGTGTACTTTAATCTACAATCCTGGTTGTTGATGCTGTTCGTAAAAGATTTGCAAGTATAAATATAATCTAGAAAACACTATACATATTCACCTTCAAAAATTTTTCATTATGATAAGTAGACAGTGTTCACAAGTCATATAATTTATAAAACATAAACTTTATTTGACAATTACTATGATACTACTTAAAAATGACACATTCCTGATTATTAATACTATGAAATACTTATTATTATTTTTTCAAAGGATCTAAAATAGTGGTAATGTAAATGTTTAAGGTAAAACTTCTACTCAAAAAGATACTTCATTTATTTACTGAATTATTTTCACATTCATATAAGTTATCCAACTAATTTCAATATAATGAAACTTCAAAATGAAAAACAATAAAAATAATCTCAACTGTGAAAAATTTAATCAGATTTACTAAAAAGTATCAATCTTTATTTTATTAAACTAATTTCAAATAATATTTATATCGCTTAATCCTGAAAAGTCTTGTTGCTATGTAGAAATTATGTATGGTAAAAATATATGGTAACATTTTATTATTATTATTATTATTATTATTATTATTACTATTATTATTATTATTGTTATTACGTATATTTCTCTTTAAAGCTCATCATATACAGTTTTCTGAAAAAACCCGACTATCCTTATACTTTACTTTTATTCAAAGGTTTTAGTAAATTTGCCAAGTTGGCACGTTCAGTGGCTCGTAATAAAACTGTGTTATCACAAGTTGAACTAGACGACTCATTGGTTGCTGTAAGTGAACTTTCCTAATTGTATAATAATTGTTTAGTTTGAATAAGATATTCTTTTTTTTCAAAGTAAGAAACTATTAGAAATTAATTACATTCAAAACTATATCTTTTATAGAGTAGATTGTTGAATAATGCATTTATATGATTATTTAGTTCTTACACTTATAGTTTTCTAATAGTATTGAGTTTAAATTAGATAAATTTCAAAATTCATCTCCCATGATAGAACATACTTCAATGGATACCTAATAAACAAACGATTTCGATAATGCAATGAGAAGACGAAGTTTATCATAATTATGTGGTATATTTGCGCAATAGATTTCGAACAATCAAAATTGAGTGCCGAACTTTTATCAATGCACGTGGGAAACTGAGGACACTCATTTGACTGGAACAATGTGGAAGTCTTGGATAGAGGAAATTCCAAAAACACCAGAGATTTCTTAGAATCATGGCATTCAGGTCAATCTCAGTGGTTGAAATCATGAGTCGATTGAAGCTAGACCACCATGGGAAATCTGGAAATACTGGACGGCCGCTTCGTCCTATTGTGGAACTCCTTAGCAGTGCGCGTCCACGACCCCGCCCCGCGGGATTCGAACGCAGGACCTAGCTTCAATTGACGTATGATCTCAACTATTGAAATTAATAAAATCCCCATAAACCCCTTCTAATACTCGGGTCAATCAGCAATCAACAAACACATTGAGATCGACTCAATCAAACCAATCAGGAAAATTATTCACAAACATAGGAACAAAAATCAAACCAATGGGAGATACAACCAAAACAAAGAACAATGACAGGTTTAAGGTCAACAAGAACCAATCAACATCGAGGTCTACAGGAGAAGCTGTGAACCACATGTGGAGAAATTCGAACGTTTTACATGTGTCTGCAGTTTGTGCTCATGATATCGTTCAGAAGAACGATGAAAGCTCCACGATCAAACCATTCAGCTCAGAGAACGAAACCCCATCAAAATCACCCACCTAAGCTACAAATCTTTTCCACTATCTCATCATCTAGTTTAGGTATTCAAAATTCAAAGAATTTAAACATATTGATGATTTTGTATGACATTGAAAAAGAAAAAAAGGCAAACGAATAATAAAATTGGTATACTAGTATAGGGGTTGTGGAGATTATTAAGTTTTTGATTGAGATCATGAACCGATTGATGTTAGACCACCTTTGGAAACCTGTAAGCACTGGACGGCCGTTTTGTTCTATTGTGGGACTCCTCAGCAGTGAGCATCCACCATCCGGCACCCCGAGAGACTCGAACCCAGGGAGTTCTAACAAGAAGCCGTGACCAGTGGAGCTAATCCATGTTGGGTAGAGACAGGTACGTATCTCAGACAATGGAAGTTGGTCGCGCAATTTCGTGGATTGGTTAATGTTAGACACTACCACCAATAGTTGCCAGCTCAGTGGTCCAGTAGGTTGTGTGTTCTCGCGCGAGACCGAAGGCCCTGGGTTTGAATCCCGCTACCGGTATCGTGGATACGCACTGCTGAGGAATCCCACAATAGGACGAAACGGCCGTCCAGTGATTACAGGTTTCCAAAGGTGGTCTTACATCAATCGGTTCATGATCTCAATAAAAAAATCGGTATAACCTCTCATATAAACAATTTTTGTCTCAAGTAACTGTCAAATGATTTGGTTCAGATAAAATATTATTCTGAGTTACAAATCTACTCTTTATCATATAAATGATAAATATTTATTTTAATAAAGTTGTCATGGTACTAACAACTCATCTGAAACGCAAGTCATCAATAAATTTTATTCGTTTATGTATAGTCCATAATTATAGTAATATATTATTAATTACTAATGTATTAATGAAATTGTAATGACCGATGCATATATGTGCCTGGTCCTAAGTTGTAGCTGACTGACTGATTTCACTTTATAATGGACAGTGATAGAGTACTGACTAATTTGTTAATTGTCTAAGTAGGTGTTTACATAAATTTATCTTTTTGACTAAACATAATTGTTATTCAAGAGGATATAGATATACTTTGTTAATATTATAGTTCCCATGATGTGTATAATTTTAAACATGATTGAAAAATAATTATCTACACTTGTTAGGAATTTTTATGGAGGCTCATATAATTTTCAAGTGATACTTATGTCGAAGTTATTTAATTCAAGATTTCACTGATAACTAAGGTGCAGTAACAAGCTATTTCATCGAGAGTAAGGCAATCAACACTTATGACATTAGATGATCGCTGCTTTATATCAAAAATTGGTCTAAGTTGGAAATTCAGATTCCTGGATTCCAAACAGATAAGCACTCTCCTTAAAACCTAAACGTTTTGAGTATAATTACTGGTGGGATTGTGGATGAGCACTACTGTGAAGTAGCATACTAGGACGAAACGAATTTCCAGCACTCACTGAATCACAATAATACTACAACAGTCAATATGTGATGTATACCTTCAACAAATATTCTATCCACTTGTATATATGTGATACAATTCAATTAATTTATAAAGCTACTAGTGATAGATATTTCGAAATCATCATTTTTCAGAAATATATGTATAATTCAGTCTTGTGCCTAGAAATTTTGTCTAATACATAAAGATAGTATAGACGATGTTTTCACTGTTTAGGATATTTACATTATTAAGAAATTATTATCTGTCTGAATAAATCAAGTGAGCTTATCTACTAAATTATTCATTTTATGATATAAAGGTATTTATTTGTCCATTTTCCATAATGATAAAATCAGTAAAATGTGTCTAAGGTGTGTCTGAATTCTTTGCAAACTTCATATACTAACCAATAAATTTAGTCAATCATTATACGAAGTTATACATCAGAAAATAAAGTGAATAAGTTCAGTTAATAATAATAATTTATGTATCATAGCAAACCTTTATTTCATATCAATTGAATAGTAGCCGACTGCGAGGGAATATAGTTTAAATTAGTACAACTCAGCATAGAATCATGTGCTCTGTTTCGATTTATGGTGTTTATATGATTGATAATGCTACTATCCAATAATGTATCTGAACTTTTAATCTAAAAATTAGAATTCAAATATCTGAACAAATAATGATGTGATGATAACCACACCAAAAATTCTTATTCTATGCAACTATTTTGAAAAATTCTGAAAGCTTAAAGTGCTTTTCACATGGCATTTTAACCAAGATGAAAACAAGTAATTAGGTGTGATACTTTCAGTCTATTATCTTTATCTATAATACAACTGTTTACAATTAACCAAATGAGTTGTGACAATGTAAATCAAGCATATATAAAAAGGGTATTTGTAATCGTTTTAATTAATCGATCGTTCGATTAGCTTAAATGCAAGTACGTCACTTACCTGAGTTTCAATAGCTTTTAATCTACTCTAGTATATAATCAAACGTACGATCACAGAGAAAAATTTCCTATAAAAAGATGGAGTGATTTGGATTTATACACGCATGATTTATTTTCTTCTATCATAATTTTTAATGTTGGATTATACCAGCAATTTTAAATCCATTTACTTACGAATGGACGTACTCAGAATTTACTGGAGTTCTAGTCAACTAGTGAATAATTATGTAACACTTCACCAAAAGTTTGATATGATCAATTTTTTTTAATGCATGTAAACTTTTCTTTTGACCTGCCTTTATATCTAGCTGAACATCTCTCAACTGGCCTGACTCATTCGGTTCGAAAGAAGAAAGACTAGTTGAACAGTGAAACATTTTTTATTTTTTATATGCATAGTAATAATTTTCAAGTAATGTTTACTTTTTCCTATTTATATTTTAAGGTTGCTCCCATTCAAAGTAACAGTATACCAAAATACCGTCAAGAGTCACCAAAAACACCTCCACATGTTGTATTACATTATTTAACATTTAAAACTGCCTGGGATTGGATAATATTTTTATTAACTGGTTATACATGTATTATTATTCCGTATAGTGTTGCATTCGGTCATGATACATTATCAGAAGAATCAATATACTTTGCTGTTGAACATATAGTTGATATAATATTCTTCATTGATATTGTTTTAAATTTCCATACAACTTTTGTTGGCTCATCTGGTGCGGTTATTTCAGATCCAGTATTGATACGTTTGAATTACTTAAAAGGTTGGTTTATAGTTGATTTAATCTCTTCGCTACCATTTGGAATTCTAGCAGTATTTAGTGATCATACAGTGAGTTGAATATAATTTCAATAAATCATTAATTTGTACAGTATAGATTATTGTTAATAAATGTTTAATTGACAAATTATTATTTGTCTTCAGTTATTGTATCAGAATACATTTTGCTTTTGATGGAGTTTTGTTTCCTGAGCTGCATCCAACTCCATCAAAATCATCCACCTGAGCTACAAATCTTCCCTACCATCTCAGAATAGATCTTACTTTCTGAAGACTTTTGAGACAGTATATATAATCTAAGATACAAATAATTAGAAAAAAATATGCGTGGGTAGATGATTTCCATGTCAACAAAATTTATACCAAACACAATTTATTTGTTGTCAGTATTGTTTTGAATAATAGTATACATTAAACATGATAAAGTTTATGATGATCACATTTTAGAAACATCTATGTAGTATGATAAGTTGCATTTCCACTTAACACATGTTAGATGAAGCAATGTGTTCCATACAAGAGACAGTACAAAGTAAACGATTAGATTTGTAAAATGAAACAGATTTCACAAGGTGATGTAAACAATAGTGAAACATGGTTACAAATAAGTTTTTATCCGGATGAAAAAGTATTTTTCTAAGTTCCAAGTCTCAGTTAAACTGAGAGTAAATTTCTTAGACAAACTTCATTTCCATTCAAAATGTTTATTTAAGTAACCTACAAAAGTATAATAACTGAATTTGTCTTTTTTTTCACAACACGTAGATATTTACATATGATTTCTAACAAACTATTTGTCCATTTATTGACGAATATTCGCAGACAGACATTTTAAGTTTCAAATTGGTCGATGAGATTGTAGATTTTCATAGACGGAGATAGTTGGGCCACGTGTTACGTATGCCTGAACACCGATTACCACAATGTACAATGCTAACTAGTGTTGGAGAAGGAATGGAAGAAAGTTAAAGGCGGCCAAACCAAAACTTGGCATCGGTGCTTGAAGTCACGAACTTCTATTCTGAGGCATGTTGGTAGATGCAAACTACTTGGTTGGGGTTCGCGTGACTATCGTAACCAATGGTTGGAGACTCTGGGTGACATGATTCAGAATCGATCACAATGGCTTAGATGTATGCGTTCATTGTCTTCCCTTAAACCGTGGGATTAAACTTGCTTTATACCTTTCTTTCTACCGACTAATTCTTTCTTCCTGTATTATATCTTTTTACATAATCTTTCATTTATATATTACTACCATTGAAGTAACTACGTCTATGAATTTGGTGTAGATCTTGTTGTGCTATTGAGGAGTGGCAACTTGGACAGATTCATATACGTGACTTAACCTACGTTGTAGCTGACTTACTCACTTAAGTTTCAAATGATTTTTCTAGGTCTTAATAAACTTTTTTAGTTACTGTTTATATACAAGAATGTTATTTTCATTGTCTAACAGTTATTTTTACAAGGAGGTTCAATAATTTTTTCCGAAAAACTGATAATCTTTATAAAACAGCTGTCAACATTTATATAATAAACTGCTTCATTATGGTGCTCTGGTAATTAAATTGAACTTATTTTAAAATATAGACTGAATGGTCACCTTTTATCCGTCAATTACACTAGTAGTCATGTAATATAATAGAATCGAATTTTGGTCCTAAGTGCCTGCAAATAGTTTTCAGTAATTCCTAGAACCAGGTTTTATGCTGGTTGGCACTTACTAACATGCTATGTCTGAAATTCTTATATGACTAATACCTCCCCTGACAAAGTTAGAAATATTACTTCTAGATCATTTGGGGTATCGCCACTCTTACATATAAGTAAAAGATTACACTGATTGACAACCGTGTAGCAACCAAAGCCAAGTTTACCTTGTTCTTAGTCCTAATCACATTTTATCAATAAGGATGGTATTCAGCGACAGCAGATACACCAATTTGTATGGTGACTACACCAACAGTTTCCAGTCGACTGCTCATAATATTCTGATATGAACCAAAATAGATCATTGATTTCAATTAATCATTACATTTAAAATAACCATCTTTTAACTAAGCAGTATTCTTCTTTTAGCATAAACTGGACAGTGTGATCTTTTTTATATTAAGAAAATGTCTAATAAATATTACTGACTATCTAAGAATACATCTTCTACGTTTTTTTATCTTCTATTTTTCTTTTCCTGTAACTCACAGACATTAGTCAATTTGTCCAGTATATTAAAACTAGCACGTTTATTACGATTATGTCGAGTATTGAGAAAATTAGACCAATATTTGGAATATGTGGCGTCAATTTTATTAATTATGCTATTCTGCTTTATACTATTAGCTCATTGGTTAGCCTGTGTCTGGTATTTAATTGGAATGCATGATTTAAAAGATAAAATTTATCATGGTTGGATAATACATTTAATGAATGAAACAACTGGTCCAAAAAATTGGTCTAATACATCATTAGAGGAATATTTGCCATCACAATCTATGCTATACATGACATCATTTTATTTTACTTTATCTGTGATAACTAGTATAGGATTTGGAAATGTTGCAGCGAATACAATATCAGAAAAAGTTGTTTCTATTATTTTTATGCTAATTGGAGGTAAGTGATAAATACTATTCTAAATACTATTTAAATTAAATTGTAAGTATGGTAATTTGAAAACAAAAGCAACAATTGAATCAAATGGCAATTATGAATATTGATTGAAATCTTGAACCGGTTGATATTAGACTATCATTGAAAACCTGCAAGCACTGGACGGCCGTTTCGTCCTAGTATGGGATTCCTCAGCAGTGCGTATCCACGATCCCGCTCGCGGGACTAACTTCATGAGGGGATTCTCGGAGTTCTAGTAAGAAGTCGTGACCAGTGGAGTTATTCCGTGTTGGGTAGAGACAGGTATCTACCTCAGACAATGGAAGATGGTCGCGCAATTTCGTGGATTGGTTGAGGTTAGACATTAACACCGTTGGATGGCAGCTCAGTGGTTAAGTAGGTTAAGCGTTCGCGCGCGAGACTGAAGACCATGGTTCGAATCCCGCGACTGGAATCATGGATGCACACTGCTGAGGAGTCCCACAATCCTTCCAGGTTTTCAATGGTGGTCTAACATCAATCGGTTCAAGGTCTCACTCAATAAATTAATAATCTCCACAACCCTATACTGGTAATTATGAATATTACAGAATAGAATGAAGCTAAGTAAACAATTTTAAATTTTATGAATAGATACCAAATTCTAAAAAATTACAATTCCTATTATCATTTACGTTTTAAATCAGATTTACTCAGGTTTATTTCGTGCTAAATATTGTATACCTACTTTTTCATTACACAACTGACTTTTATTGTTGATCAGTTGTCTTGTATTTTGATATCCGTTTATCGATGATTGCGTTAGTAATTCCATTTTTGTGAACGATCGTCATAAGTCACAATTTTCATACCAGTCTGCACATCTGATCTCATATCCTTGCCCAGTTACGTAAATCTTCCTCAGATAGAAAAAGTTGGGTAGTGATAAATTATACATTTTTAAATTTCGTTGGTGGTTGACATTGATTGAATAGGAAACATAGGATAATTATTAAATCAAACAATTCAACTATAAATAGTGAGTGAATTTTCCTGTTGATTTTAATTTATCAATCTCTATTGACTTATGTACACACAAAGTGCATTGCTTCGATATTGCCCCAAGCTACAGATTTTTAGTATATATCCATACTCATTGAACATGCTATTCACTCTATGGACTCAGCAGATTAGTAAGTGAAGCACTAGTGTTTACAGCGAAAGGTACTGAGTTCTCCTCTTAGTTGATGAACCCCAAGATGGATGAAAAGATCACCTTGGATCCCACTGTGAATCACAATCAATATATACTATAAGTAATTATTTTGATTTATATTGTCTACTGTTGGATGTGACAAATATGGAGCCACACTAATTGCTTTGTAAATTTCATTATCATTACTGATTAATTACAGATATTCTCATAACTAAATCATATTATGGTCACGCCTTCATGTTTGGATTATTTCTGTATAATTCATAATTTCATTGTTGTAATATGTAACCGTTTATTTAGTTAATGAATGTATATTTTAAGAGTTGTTCAACTGTAAGTGAAAAATCAGTTAAGTGAGCATATAATTAGTCTGGTCAGTAGTTTTATTGCCTATTTGTGTTTTCACAGTAGTAAAAAGTCGTAATAACCTTAGGTCTTTTACATATGGATCTAATTTGAACCACATCATTCGAATTTTTACACAACTTAATTAAAGAACTTTATAATAATCTATGAAACTTTTGTAAAAAATATCTGTAAACTGGCTTAAACACTCATTAAGCTATATCATAAAAAGAGGGGGAACATAACATTTGATCACAAATAAGAATTATAATCTATTATTAATGGCCAATCAAAGTCCAGGAAACAAATATAATTTGTCAGTCACTAAAGTACCTTCACAATAAATGGTTGGTGGAACAACAATATTAAATATTGACAAATTTCTCTAAGAATAATAATTTTCCTTCTAAAATTCTATTAGTTATCTAATACTTAGTAAATAAGAATCATTTTATATGAAACTGACTTCTGCTGAAAAACTAAATTGAAAAACATTCTTAAGAACAAAAAGAAATTAGATTCAGACAGTGATAATACAAAAGTATGAACTATGGGAAGAAAAAACAATATCAACTCGTCAACTAAGCAAATAATGTTGAAGAATTTAAGTAAGAATAATTAATATTGGCAAAATTTATTATTTTAATTTTCACTGGTTGAAATCATGAGTCAATTAAAGCTAGACCACCATGGAAAACCTGGAAGCACTGGACGGCCGTTTCGTCCTAGTATGGAACTCCTCAGCAGTGCCCATCCACGATCCCACCCACCCCCGCGAGATTCGAACCCATGACCTATCAGTCTCGCACCAGACGCTTAACCAACTAGACCACTGAGCTAGCCGGCATCCAATGGTGTTAATGCCTAACTTCAACCAATCCACGAAGTTGCACAATCGTTGATGCGCACTGCTGAGGAGTCCCATACTAGGACGAAACGGCCGTCCAGGGCTTCCAGGTTTTCCATGGTGGTCTAGCTTCAATCAACTCATGATTTCAACCAGTGAAATTTCTAAAATCTCCACAAAACCCATTCTGATAATATTTTAATTTTGTTGAAATACATAATTTGTAATGTACGGAAAGTTATAATAAGCTTGCATTCATATGAGCTAAAGTAGAAAAGGCAACTGTGAAAGATTTCCGACTGAATCCATTACCGAATTAGTTACCAAATCTTGTAAATATAAATATTTCTTTCTAAAGAGTTATCTCAAACTAACTACTTATGAGTAAATGGTACATCAATAAATTCAATTATATATATACATATATATGTACGGTTTTAGATTGTAAAATTTATCTCTAACAAATGATAATCATATAGATTTCATTTCTGCGTTCAAAAGAACACTATGTATTTACTTCCTAACAAAGACAATATTTTAATAAATTCCCTTGTATTGAGACAAAATTTTTTATGTATTTTTTTTTGTAATTAGTTAAGGAGGAATCAGTGTAAGAACAACTCAAGTCACGAACGTCATTAAACTGAGAACTAGGATGAGTCGCATAGCTATTTGACACAAATCCTTAGACATGTAGACCATAGATTTTATTTCAAACTGAACTTTGAACCCAAAAGTCTTTTATAAAATTGGCTATTGAGTAATCCGCTAAGCAAACAATTAACTTTCTATGCTTTTTCATAACATGTAAAATAGAAATCTCACTGATTAAAAATTTCAACTGAATATAGTAAAGAATGAAGAGGATGTTATATTTCATCAGATCAATTATTATAGGGTCAATGCTTTATTCAAACAAAACTAGCCATTACATAGTCCAACCTTTATAAATATCATATAAATAAGTATTGATCAGATAATTGACTATGTTTATTTTATATTATTATAGAAGATAAAATTCACTCATCTATACTATAAATATGCAACAGAGATAATTATCTAATGAGGACAATAATGAGACATAAGAATAAACATGAATTTTTAAGTTATACATATTATGGTTATTTACATTTGAGTACAAAATCAAACTCATCATAGAGCTTGTTTATGGCCTAATTATTAATGAAATAGGCGTTTCTTATCAATATAAATATAATTTAGGTATACTCTTATACAAGTAAATAATAATTAAGTTGTTGTTGTGTTCTTTTTTTAAACAAAAAAGAATTAGAATGGATACTTTTGTTTCCTAATTTAAACAATTTTAAATATTTAATAGTTATGATAAAATTAATGTAAATAATATTTTAGTTGTCAGAAGGGGTTTTGTGAAGATTTTAGTAATTTCAATAGTTGAAATCATAAGTCGATTGAAGCTAGACCATCATGGAAAACCTGGAAGCATGAGACGGTCGTTTCGTCCCATTTTGGGACTCCTCATCAGCGTGCATCCACAACCACGTCTCACGGGATTCGAACCCAAGATCCATCAGTCTATTTTGTTAATATTATCAGAATGTGTTTTGTGGAGATTTTTAGAAATTTTCACAGATTGAACTCATGAGTCAGTTGAAGCTAGACCACCATTGTTAATATTGAAATTTTTAGGTTATTATTTTTTTATTATTTTTTATAGAAATTAAATAATCTTTTCATAAACATAGTTCCCCTTATCATTTTGAAAAGAGTAGGAATAAAGATTCTAGCAGAATAGCATGAACTCCTTTTATTTCGTAGGTTCTCGTCAGCTGATCACAACCTGTGATATTTAAAATCATAATTACATAATGGATTTAAATTACTTGCATGAGAGGGTTCGGTTGGAAGTTATACTGAAGACATATTAGTATAGTATAGTAAGGGTTTAAAAATATTTTGAATAGACTGAATATTGTAAATATATACCTTATGTAAAAGAACATTCTACAACACTGATTGTGACAACAGTTCAAAGGGCCGGAAACAAGTGATTATATAATGAGTAAACATTGATACGAATAAAATGAGTAGAGCTCATTTGATAAAATAAAATAATGGATTTGGAAGATAGTCGAAATAAAGCTCAATAATGTAATAGATGCAAGAAAGACTTTAAATAAAAAGAAAAAAAATTTTAAGATGCGGAGAAGGAATATCTGTCATCAAGGCAAGGAAAGATTAATAACGATCTCCTTCTGAGCACATAGGTCAGGTTTTTAACGCCTGATAACAACGGCTTCAGTAAACTTCAGAAGACTGGAGTTTGGCTGCTTACTAATCACCTTGAATGATTGAAAGGTATTGACCTGTTGTCATGTATCAACCTTTTCATTTTCATAGTTAAACCTTATGTATAATTCATGTTATAGAGATTAGTAAAGTATTATGGACTATTTACCAACTACTCCTAATCAATTCATATCACTGCAATTTGAAAAGCATCACGATTAGTATCATAGAGATTGCCATAAATAGTATAATTCAAGGAGATTCATTATTACCAGCTATGAAATTAGATCTCATTGTTGTGTATATTTAAAATTAGTTCTGTTCGGCTATCAAATTCCACATCAGTCTTAAATACAAATCAGAAATTTTAAAGAACTAATCACTTTCTACTAAGAACTAAATATTGAATTTAAATAAAACACGTGTAGACTGTGAACTTAGTTAGATGATAATGATTAGAGCAAATTTTTTTGAAGGAACCTTGACTCTAGTGCGATGATTCATAATGTATTGATAATTATCTAAGAATGAAGAGAAAGAATTGATAGTCACTGACTCCATAAATCATAGTTTCACACTAGAACTTCTGAAAAATTCATCTCAAAGTTAGTAATTATATTACTGAGTCAAATGATTTATAAAAAATTATTCATTTTGGAAACAGTTTTCATTATGGGCCTCCATTAGTTGAACAATCATTCCAAATTAAAGGGTACTGAATAGTTGATAAATTCTAGTTTTGAGCTCATAAACAATGAATACTCATACAAAATCAAATTTCACGATAATCATTTGGATATATACTTCAAAGAAACAAATTTACTGGAGACTACTGATTTTTGGGAAATATAAGTGTTGATGTCATATATTACTTGTCCAATGAATATATTTTGACAAGTTACACCGTGACAAATGAAATTCATACCCGTCTAAGCGGATAGCATTTTAGGCATCTGAAGTAAAAGGCAATTGGTTTAAAGTCTCCATATGAACATCAATCTAGATTTAGTCAACTCCATTTGGCAAGTCCTAAACAACACGAAACGCGAGTCTCTGATCGCACTGGAAACCTCATCTAATTTTACATCATAATGGTAATGTAGTTTAGACAGAAATATCACGAACAATTTCGTCCAGAATACAAAATATTGCGGTGATTTACAACTTCACTGTATTTTATCATCATTCAATCATTTATCTATAATCTGTTTTACCCATTATTACAATCTACATTCTATAATTTACATTCATTTTGTACTTACAATTAGCATACCAAAACTTGTTCACCACACTCATTATCTCATACGAATACGATTATACAGCTACTAAAAATGAAAACGTTGGGAAAACTTGTTGTTTGAATATTATTTTTTAATTCGGAATTTGTTAATACTCAAATAAATTATTTTTTCTTGAGTATTAAATCCGTTAGTGATTGGACTCTATTTATGCTACGTACATGTAATTCATAGGTTATGTAGCAAATACTGAAATCAGAAAACTAAACTTAAAGTATTAAGGATTTATAGGACATTCTCCTGAATTGATCCCTCACAAAGTGTACAATGAAAGTCAGTACCATTTGTTGTAATGGGGACAGCTGTTTAGTAAATTTAACAAATAATAATATGGACCTAAGGCCTGTTGATACGATTAGATATTTTGTGGCTAGTTGCGTTGGAATTCATTTATAGGCTTATCTATTAGAAAATCAAATATTACAACTGGTTACTTTACAATTAAGCATAACTTATCGTTGAATATACAGATTCACTTGTACTACCTACTGTATGATATTTACCTCATTATTTAGCCAATGATAATAGCATCGTTTTGTTTATTTTGAAATGTTTTCTTTTTTAAATTTTATTTACCACAATATTAAATAGCACTTGTTTATGCTACAATATTTGGTAATGTGGCGACTATTTTACAACAAACACATGCAACTCGTGCAAGACTTAGACAATTAATGTCTAGTGTGAAAGATTTTTTACGAATTCATGAAGTACCTAAAGAATTAGCTGAACGAGTTATTGATTACGTAACATCAAGTTGGTCGATCACAAAAGGTGTAGATACACAAACAGTAAGTAAATTGAAGTATATGTTGCATTTTTTTTATTTTAAAAACATAATTTGATGTAAAGGATTTTGGTGGAGAATGTGTTCACTAGAAGTCCATCTGAAGTTTGTGCTGATGATGTCGTTCAGTGTTGTAACGGGTGACTGCAGGTTTTGATAAGCAGCGTATTTATCGACCAATTACAGTGACACGTAAAACACGTAAGGACGACCTAGAGTCCCGATTGGTCCCGCTTCCCTATCTAGCCCAGCCAGTTGAGTCTAGAACGCAAGTCACAGCCTCTGAGTTATAAATCATTATACTTCAGACATACTCTATTTATATACCAAACAAACAAACCACATCGTACCATAAAATAGAAAACAACATTTACACAATATTTAACGAGTGAAATAAATAATGGCCAATAGGGAATGCCCGTTTAGAGTCCAAGGACATCATTAGACTTAACATGATAATGATTGGTATATTCCTAAGCATACCTAACATTCAGAAGAACGATGAAAGCTCCACGACCAAATCATCCAGCTCAGAGAACAAAAGTCCATCAAATATGTTCACTAGTTTCTAATATTTCAAGCTGTTGATAGGTGAAGTAAAAATTTCTTTACTTCATTCTATGGGTTATCCTAATGTTTATTCAATCGACGCAAATCATTTGTGCCTCCTTTATATTGTAGTTTTTGAAACATTAATCGTGTATTTTTGTCTAATCATGATTCTTTACAGTTACACATCAGGTTGTAATCGTTTGATATTCATAGGGCTCAGTGAGATGTAGGACAATCAGTAGAGCAAACACAGTTTTTTTTACTAATTCATTTCTTTTCAATGGAATTTACTGATCCAGTCTAATCAATGAGTTCATGATATCGGATTAGGAATTTCATACAGATCAAAAAATGAGCTTCAAACTATTCTAATTGGATAAATATATCCTTAAAAATAGATTTATGAGTAAAACAAAACTTGGTTAGTAATAATTACCCTATGGATGTATAAGTTTTTGAGTTTTTTTTTTGATAACATTATTATTATTACTTATTAATGGCTTTATTCAATATTATATTTTGGTACAATATAGAATTCTCAGCACAAGGTATTTCAACAAGATTCTTTTACAAAAAAAGCAACAACATAAAAGAAGTGAAAAAGGTTTTAAAAAAATCTTAAAAACTGTACAACTTTCCAAATTAGAGACATGTTAAAAATGCAGGTTATTGACTAGGTTAACTCTAACAACCTGTTCGTCACAGAGTATATTTGCTAGGTAAGGTATTATAGAACTTTTATACTTTTGCTTGCGTGCATGGATTTTAATGTAATTACGTCTCGTTCTGCCAGAAGATATACAAGAAGAAAGATAAGAGTGAAGGGGATGGTTAGTATCTGATAAGATAACATCTTCCAGGAGTTTGCATGACTTTAGATGTCTATCCACAACCATATTAATTATGGCCTCAAGAGATTCACCACACACCTTGCTAACTGTCTTCATCACTCTCTGCAATATAGAGTTATCATAGTTCATTATATTTTCCTAACGTTTATGAGATCTCAATACAGAAACTTAATATCAATAATCAGTAATGAAGAATGGTAGTTATATTATTTATAGAGATGTTTCGCAAATATATTTCAGAGAACTTCTGTTTATACGACTTCATCTTTTTTTATTCTACAATGCAGCTCATAATTAACCACAGTTTTATATTATTTGTTTTAATATTTAAATAATTAATTATCAGACCGTGATACATTATTTCTAGGGAGCATTTTTAATCCGAAAGTGAATAGCGATTTTTTGAAGAAGAAAAAGAAGAAATATGGTTCATCTCTTTTTGTAAGCAATGATGGATAGTGGCTAGCAATAGAACTCAGAACGCACGTTTCGTCCTATTTGCGACTCGTCAGCTGGATGTACCTGCATCTCAGAGTTGATGTTCACTCTGTTACTCGAACCCAGTACCATTCGCTTCAAACGCCAACGCATTATCCACTTAGCTACTGAGTCCTAATAGCCACTTGCTTGTGCAATGGGGTGAATTTGAATTCACTTGGTATTATTTGGCTTGTATCTTCCCATTGAAGTTTAAGACTTCAATTGATCAGTCTGTTAAACCTCAATGGGAAGATACAAGCCAAATAATACCAAGTGAATGGTTCATCTCTGCTTAGAATGTTTACATACTGTTGACTTTTTATTCATTAGATTTATGATAATAAAGGGTGGCCTGCTTGATCATCTGGGCTACCTGTTCCTGCCATCTAGATATTTCAACAAGTTATCTATTTTTGTTTGTTTTAATATATCACTATGTTTATTAATCGCATAACCTATTCTGCTGCGTTTCGGAAAAGTGTACAACCTTTCGTTGTCAAAGTTACAAAAAACTCAATAAGAGACAATGTGGTTGCTGGCAATATACAACGGAAAAAATGCACAATATTCAGATGTTCATTTAGTGAACTGCTAACATCTAACTGGCGATCACTCGATATTTATCGCCAGGACCGACCAAGAAGAAAGAAACGGAAACTTGTTGAAATACTTTACGCTGAGAAATCTATATTGTACCAAAAATATAATATTGAATAAAGCTAATAATAATAATAATAATAATAATTTTATCATTTGTTAATAATTTTGTGAAAGGTTTTATTGTAGACATTAAAAAAGGGATATTTTTGTATAGTCAAATCATTCATTCTATAATATGATAATGATTAGTTTAGAGAGTATTGTTGTTATGAAATATAGTCAATTATAAAATATTTGAGAATAATGAGTTTGTTTGTTTTGTTTGTTTTTTACTCTTAAAAGCAATAACAACTGAAAGAATAATTTTATTTTAAAGAACTAAAAAACTGTATCAACTGTCAAATGACATTGAAATTATGAAAATACTGATGCACATCATGAAACATCCATATAAAACTCTTTTGTTTTCCTTTTCTAACAAAAAATAATGTCCTAATTCTGTTTCATTTCTCGCGAGTTCACTATAAACCTGTCTATAGGGAACAGTAATTGTTACTGATAATGAAAATACTCATTATTATTATTATTATTATTATTATTATTATTATTATTATTATTATTATTATTATTATTATTATTATTATTATTATTATTATTATTATTATTATTATAGTATACTGATTGTGTAAAAACAACTTTGATATGCATATCTTATTTCATTTCCAGCTTACTAATTTATATCAAATATTAGGTCAATAGAAATATGGTTGATCAGAATTTTTCTATAGAAGTATACACAGATAATAAGTTTACTTCTGATTAGCTAATCAAGTACAAGGTTTAGAAGCTTATTTATTTGCATTTCCATCAAACTTGATTACGCTGTTTGTTTGTTTCTTCACTATGAAATAACATTTTAAGCACGATACATAGAGCTGTGACTGAATTACGATAAACATTAAGTCTTATTATGAATAACTTATGAATATGAGCATATAATTATTCTTATTTAAGAAAAAATACCATTATCTTTTGATTACTTTAGGTATTGAATCACTGTCCAAAAGATATGAAAGCTGATTTATGTGTTCATCTTTATCGTGCTGTATTTAGTGAGCATCCAGCTTTTCGACTAGCCAGTGAAAGTTGTCTTAGAGCTTTAGCTGTTTCATTTACAGTTCAACATAATGCTCCTGGTGATCTAATCTTTCATCAAGGTGAAAGTATTGATCAGTTATGCTTTGTAGTATCTGGATCTTTAGAAGTAATACAAGATGATGAAATAGTAGCTATCCTGTGTAAGTTGAAAATTTTTACTTATCAATTCTATTCAATCTTCTTATTTTTGTTTTAGATTCATACTAAGTAGTATTAGCAGCATCAATTCTCGTCGAAAACAGTGTATAGTTCAGTAACTTAGGTGACAATTTAGTAGGTATATATTTCAAAATTAATTTAAGCATCAATAGCAGTGCAGTCTAATATCTTATTGTGTACACTCAAAACTAAATGTACTTTTTACGTAAGTATGAGCATTTTTAAACAGAATACATCTGTCAGATACATTATTATTCATACCATCTTTCATGTAACTAGGTAACTTCATCGTGAGAAGTTACACTCGATTTTTTTAGATAAAAATACACTAGACAACAGACAAAATAATTTTTTTACTTTAATAAAATAGAGAAAATTTTCACCTATTCGTCTAGTAGAAAACCTCGTATTATAGATGTTTTATTTCATTTTAAATCATTTAAAACTGGTAGATGGACATTCAAACTAGTTAGACAGCTAAATTATGAATCAATAATATTGAAACGTTATAACCAAATTAGGAGAAGAAGAAAGATATTCGACAAAGTTCCTAAATATTTAGCATAAGCAAATGAATGAATTCGTACATAAATTCTCCAGTATTGTTTAGCCTTTATATATATATAACAGATTACAGTAACGCATATAAGTGAATAATATTGTATTTTAATGGATCTTCATTAGGTTTTATCGCAATAGACAGTAATATTTATATTCATATATGAAAAATATTAGACGAATCATGGTAGTTTATGAGTCAATGATAATCAAATATGGTTTTAGATCATGGATTGACCTTAGCTAGATAACAAATGAAAACCAGGAATCACTATACAGATGTTTTGTTCTAGTATGGGTCAGTTCGTGATATAAAGCTATTCACAAACCCTTATACTAGTATTAATCATATGCTCACTCGTAACTAAATTCCATAGGCGATTCCCGGACATCTCAGAATAAGCCGTGACCAAGCTAGTTCAATCATATCATGCATGAAGTAGTTATTCATCAACTTCATAAGAAGGTAGTAGCACAACATCGCCAATTGATTCAAGTAACAAGTGTATATCATTGGACGTCCATTGACTGTTCTAACGATTAGGCACTCACATCGAAACCTGAAGATTCTAGATTTGATAATCAATAAGAAAGTGAAGGCTCACTGAAAATAATTTCCCCACTAGGACGAAACTACTTTCTAATTCTGAAAGATTGTGTAACTACAATCAGTCTGTGATGTGAAATCACGAAATTTGGTAATCTTGACATACTATTAAATCAACAATAAAACAGAATACTTAAGTAATCATAACAAAATATATTCAATATGTCAAACAACAAAACAACGGAAATGAATCCTGGTTCTTTTATACACAGAAAATATTTTATCTAGTCAAAAGACAATGTTAGATTTTGAATTGACGAGATTTACTTCAGTTAATTGTTTTATAACTTAACAAATATACTCGTCTATTATTCGAATCGATACTATCATGGATAGATAAATATAAAATAGGTTCAACAGGATAATTTGTACTTTACAATAACTAAAATAAGTTGAATGTATCAATCATTGTAATTCAGTACATGGATTTAAAGGGTATGCGGAGGCCCTTAATTTTGTCATTATTTAGCTCAAACGATGTTGTCGGAAGGGCTCCCTACTTTAGTGGCCCGAGATCTGACTCCAAGTAGATCATATGGATGCTTGTTATCACCTATCCTCATATATAATTATCGACTTTAATCGCGTTAGTCAATAACGGATTTAGATAAGTCGAATAACAATAATGGACTTTTGAATACATGCCATGGTACGGCCGAAAGTGGGGAGGAGTCCGCTTTTACTCTCGAAATACTCTCGCACGGTCACGCGTATACAGCCTCTGCCATGGAAGTCCTACTCATTGCCTTCTCATGGCGGGGGTGTTGTTTACGAAAATGAGAGGACGAAAAGCGAATGTCCGGCGCTTTAACCGGATCACAAACCAATGGTGCACATTGGCTCCAGTATCCTGCGGGAACAAATGGCGTATGAACCAATTCCTTGGTCACCGGCTACCATGGGACTGCATTTCCTCGCGATGCTCCACTGCCTTGTAGGTTAAACCTTAAGGTCAAAGGCTCGGGGTGTGGCCCCCTAAGATAACCACCTGCTTTGGTCTGAGCATCCGGACAGTATCACAGCCCACACAAAAATATGATGAACTGCCTATCATTATGGAAACTACTTTACTTGCTTCAACTAACAATCGAATGATTATTATTACTATTATTATTGTCATCATTATTTACCACATTATTCACGCTCTTATATACTTATACAGCGGCTAGTCTTTGGTGGAAATTCGACTCTATCTAAACGTCCTCGAGTCACTGTCCGGTTGAAAATTGTATGTTACCACCAAATACGAATACTAAAGCAGTTTTTCTGAAACCATGTGCACCATTCAAACTGGCTGCCTTCAACGTTCGCACACTTATGCAGGTCGGACAACAGATGGGGCTGTCTGTGTCTTTGGAAAGTCTTAATATCGATGTCTGCTGTCTATCCGAGACCCGTATTCAAGACTCTGGTGAAGTACTACAAATTCGCTCTCCATCTGTCGCTTCGAAAGGCTTGTTTTACGTGCGCTTATCCGGGGACCCTGTGGCATCTTCGTCTGGTCTCACTGGCGTTGGTGTCGCACTAAGCGCTAGAGCTGAGGCAGCACTAATCGATTGGACCCCATTAACAGTCGGTTAAGTGTTGTTAGATTAGAGAGTTCCATCAAAGTGAGAAGAAATCGGCGTGAGAAACGATGTCTTTTCGTCATCTCCGCCTATGACCCGACAGATTGCAGCCCGGATGCAATCAAGGATGAGTTTGACCACTAGTTATCTGTCCTTCTCCAGAAAGTACGTTCGACAGATATTGTGGTACTAGCCGGAGACTTGAATGCTCAGGTCGGGCGTCTAGGCACAGAGGAAAGTCGATTATGTGGTCGGTGGGGACTTGTTGGTCGCAGGACAAATAACGGGGACCGTCTACTGCAACTGTGCACAGACCACAACCTGTTTCTGGCTAGCACTAACTTTCGGCACAGTCATCGCCGATGTGTCACCTGGCGTCCTCCCTCTGCATCTCAAGCCTGGACTTAGATTGATCACATCGCGATCAGCTACCGCTGGCGTGGTTGTGTACAAGACTGCCGCTCCTTCTGGAGTACCTATCTGGACTCTGACCATGCTTTGGTCTGCGCCAATCCTACCTTACTTTTCAGTGGACAACGAAGTGACCGCCACCAACGGATTGATATTAGCAAGCTGGTTGCAACTTCTGTTGCAAGTAAGTATCGAACCGAGCTAGCCTCTAGGCTAGCTACCACTCCACCGAAAAGTATAGATGAGCATTGGTTGCAATTGCATGACGCCATGAAAATGGCGGGAACAGTCAGTTGTGGGTTTGCGAAACGTCCCGCTTTTAAGCACTGGGTTTCTTCTGGTTCCTTACAACTCATTGAAGCCCGTCGGTCTACTCCGGGTGACCGTGAGTGGTGATGAATTTCTGACTAAGGAATTGACGACGTTGTTTACAAAGGTTTGGGAGCTAGAGAGTGTACCGACGTCATGGAATGAGTCGATAGTTGTCCCTATCTTTAAAAAGGCTTCACGTCGTTTCTGTAACAACTATCGGAGGATAAGTCTACTTCCGATTGCGTCCAAGCTATTGGCTTCCGTCATACTTCGTAGGTTGTTCAAAACCCGAGAAAGATTGACTCGCGAGGAGCAGGCTGGGTTTTGTTCTGGTCAAGGATGTATTGATCATAGCTCCACCCTCCGCCAAATGTTAGAACACCGTCATACTTATCAAAGGCCAATAATCGTAGTGTTTCTTGACATCAGGGCTGCCTTCGATTCGTTGGACAGGACTGTTCACTGGGATTGTCTATTGAAGAAGGGTGTGCCTGAGAAGTTTATTAACATCCTAAAAGCCCTATATACAAACACCTCAGGCAGAGTGAGGGCATACAACCAACTCTCCCCATTGTTCCATTAGAGCAGTGGGGTTAGGCAGGGTTGCTCAATCTCACCATTCCTCTTCAACTTTGCCATCGATGACATTCTGGAAACAGCTCTGATGGATGAAAGTAATGGTGGTGTGGATCTGTTGTCTGGAGAAAGACTTCTCGACCTTGAGTATGAGGATGATATTGTCTTACTGTGCGATAATGCCCAAGGCATGCAATCCGCAATTAATCAGTTGGCAATCAGTGTCCGTATGTACGGTATGTGCTTTGCACCTTCGAAGTGCAAAGTACTTCTACAAGACTGGCAGGATTCTAATCCTGTACTCACCCTGGATGGTGAGCAGATAGACGTAGTCGAGAAGTTCGTGTATCTGGGTAGCTGAATAAGTGCTGGTGGGGGTGTGAGTGATGAGATCAATGCACGTACAGTGAAAGCCAGAGAGGCTTATGCCAATCGTCGGTGAGAGCAGTTTTGCTCTATACTTGTGAAACCTGGTCCCTCCGAGTTGAGGACGTTAGACGACTCTCTGTGTTCGATCATCGTTGTCTCCGAAGGATTGCTTACATGCAGTGGCCACACCATGTTGGTAATGCAGAGGTTCGGCATCGTGTGTTCGAGCACAGAGATGATAATTCAATTGGTGTCACCATCTTGAAACACCGACTTCGGTGGCTTGGACATGTTCTACGAATGTCGTCTCAGAGAATTCCACATCGTGCATTATTTGCTAACGCTGGGACTGGTTGGAAAAAGCGGAGAGGTGGTCAGTGTATGACATGGTATCGTGGTATGAAAGAAAGCTGTAAAGGACTGGCTTGTGTCGGTCCTTCACAACTCTCTGTTTGGGGTCCGACAGATGGTGCTACACAGTGGCTAGAGACGTTATCAGATATGGCTCAGAATAGAAGCCAGTGGCGATCCTGCTGTAACCTTCTTTTACTTTCTTCGTAAAAAGTGGTTGTATCTTCCTAAACTGAAAGATTTCTTCTGATTGTACCTTTCCGTTCCCTCATTATTACTATTATTATTACTACACTACCTTACACCAATCTCTTCGTTATTGTTCTGTTTTTTTACGCTCCTTACCTTTTTTCTCTTCGAATTCTCATTGTTTTGTGTGGTGCATATATATTGGCGCTCTTTTGTACCAATATTTATGTGTTTAGATAAATAAATAAATAATAAGTTTTTTATGTGAAGCGAATGGAATAGAGAGAAGCGAGATGACGGGCATTGGAGATGGCAGGTAAGGCAACTCCCATTTAACCAAGCGTTAATCAATATTTATAGTTACACAAAAGTTACAGACATATGATGAGTAATGGGAATAAGAAGTGTACACACACCTACGCGCTCATATAAATACAGTCAAGATTGATAAGCGAATAAATAACAAGGTCAGAATGTGACTCAAGTAGAATGAATAGAATGGGCTGTCCGAAAGCTAGAATAAAGTATATGGGTTTAACATAATAACCGACACTACAGATATCTTATTTTTTCTTTTAGAAACTATTACTCTTTAGTTATTTTTTATATTAAACAAAGTCACTAATAAGTATTAGTACTCTTTCACGAATCATTGAAAATTTTTTTTCTTTTCATATTAGCAAAAGGTGATATATTTGGTCAACCTATATTTAAGGATACAGATGTTGGTCAAAGTGCAGCAAGTGTACGTGCTTTAACATACTGTGATTTACAATGTATTAAACGGGATAAACTTATAGATATTTTAAAATTTTATTCACAATTTGCAGTTTCATTCTCTCGGACACTTGTACTCAGTTATAACTTGCGTAATCGTGTAAGTTCATTTTTATCATTTATCTATGCATATTTTGTTTTTTGTATTAATCACATATAAGATTACCATGATTTAAAATCTTCTGAATAACATGATAGTTTATTGTATAATCTTGATAACCATTCCACTTTAAATTGACAGTATCTGTCATAAATTAATTGATCGCTTAATATTACTTATTATCATATTGCTAATTATTTTGTGTTAATCGAATTATATTTATCTAGTCACAATTTTGCTGCACAGCTAAGTAAATAGACAGTGAGTCATTCTTTTTTTTGGCTCCAGGTAGTTGGGTGCGAGTGACAGGATTCCATATATCCAGGTTATGTGGTGGTTGGCAATTGACAGAAAGACATATTTACAATCTAAGATGAAATGATATATCAGTTGGGATTCAAATTTCTATCATACAATGTCACAATTAGAAAAGTCACTATTGACTTATTCAACTAACATATATCATTAACTTCGCAACTTCTGTGTTATATGAACTAATTCACAGTTTCTAAGGATTAGTAGTTGTAAAGAAGCTAAATCAACATCATTTAGATGGTAAATGGAGGTCGTCAACAGGAAACCCTGGACCCGGGTTTCGTGCTACTTGGCACTCGTCAGCAAGGTGTACCTGTAATCTTGAGGGAACTGGTGCTCCCTGGCGGATTCGATCTCGTGTCACCCAGCTTCACAGTCAGAGACGTTGCCACTGAGCTATCCGAGCCGTGACTAACCTCCTGTAGGACTGAGATGTAATCACAATTAATTGATCACTGGGTGGTGATCAATGTCATGCTTGTCTAGTCCTTATTAGTGCAGATCGAATGCTATCGATCATGTTTCCTGTTGACTACCTCCAACCACCATCTAAATCTCAATACATTGTGCCCACAGTGTCGAGTCACCTAGACTAGTGGCCACATTCCAACATGATCGATAGCATTCGATCTGCACTAATAAGGACTAGACAAGCATGAGATTGATCAGCACCCAGTGATCAATCAATTGTGATTAAATCAACATCATGTTTATCAATTCGTTTATTAAATTTTATTCTAATATTTCTATTTTTCAGAGATTAGAATTGATTTTTTTAATGAGGTTGAATTTTCGAATGATCCAGAAGATATCTTTTTACTGCAACCGATACGAGAAATAAAAAGGTGGCATCGAATGACCCAATATACAACTAAAAATTTACGGGAATAATTAAAATAAGCAGATTTTTAAAAAGATCATATGGTTAGGAAAAATCTGATGATCGACTGTTAAGTCGAAAAAAAAGTACAAGATTACATCAAATGAATAAGAAAACAAATTATTTTATTTATTAAGCATTTTGGTTTCTATATATATAAACATGATTTAAAATAATGTAATAATACTCGTCGAGTGGATACGTTACGTAACATTTACATAATGACATTTAAATTAACATTGAGTAACTTGAAGAAAGAGGATAATTAATGATCAAAGTAATTATTAAATCAAGAAGTTGCTACGTTGCATAATATTTCCTATGTTCTTTTTTATATTTCTAAATTGGTAATAATAATAATAATCAAGTTCATAATTTTAATAAAACCAACAATTTTATTCTATATAATACACATACACAAACAAATGTATATGAAATGAAACTTACGTGGATTAGTTGAAGTTAGACATTAACACCATTGGATGCCGGCTGATTGGTCTGTTTGGTTAAGCGCCTGGCGCGAGACTGATAGGTCCTGGGTTAGAATCCCGCGAGGCGGCGTCGCGAATGAGCACTGATGAGGAGTCCCACAATAGGACAAAACGGCCGGCCAGTGCTTACAGGTTTTCCATGGTGGTCTAACTTCAATTGACTCATGATCTCAACTGTTGAAACTTTATAAATAAAAGGAAAAATTGAACCAACTATCTTTATTCATTACATTTTACTATAACAAATAAAATGAAAATATTGAATATTTCTGACTAGAAAAAGATAATATGAAACAATAATTAATAATGAATAGATTTAATGCTTTTTGTTTTACTAAATAAAATATAATCCTAGTGTTTATTACAAACTGAAATCAGTGACAAATCTTCACAGTTGAGTTTCAATAAATAAAAACCGAAATCTCATTGATTCTTTATATTTATGGTCTATATCAACCAAGAAGTACAAGAAAATTAGTTTGCCATAGTTGGAGATGATTGAGCAGTTGGGACTCACGGTAACTTGTAGGGTCGAGTTCAAGAACCAATGTTCTCGCGAAGAGCCAGACACCTAGACCAGTGAATTGGAATTCATCCGTTCATAAATTCAGTTCCAATTGGTGTTTTTAGTATTGAAGAATCTTTATTTATTGTTATTAATGAGTTACTGCCGTACAACATCCCACTATCTCGAAGTCAAACACTAAGGAGAATATGACTATCATATAAAATGATTTAATCCATTTTACTGTCTCATAATATCACTAAGTAGATGTCAACGCTCTGTTTTTTTCCATGATTTCTCAATTGAGAACAAATTTGAATGAAGATATTTTCAACATGTCAATTAATCTTCATAAGATCATTCCGTCCGTTTTCAGTGTCATAAATTTACAAGAATCCCTATTTATACCATTTTAACCACTGATACAGTATAATAAAAACTTTTTTATGTTTCCAAGAAAGAACAAACCGGTCCGATAAAAAGTATCCATAATATATACCAATAAACAAATGATGAAAGTAGAACTAAAAGACTTTCGAAAGTGTGTAAAATAAAGGAAGAATCCTAATGTATAAGCTAAACATGAAAAGAAGAGGAAATATTATGATCATCAGTTAATATAAAATAGAAAATAATCCATCTGCTTTTCAAGACAAAATTTAAAAATTATTCTAAGAGATTTACAACTTAATCTGTTTAAGCGAGTCTTCCTTCCTTATTCCTAATGTTAAAATTTAAGTTCTGAAGAACTAGTCTAAAGTGGATTGGAAACACGTTATTGTTTAACCATTTGCTAATATAACAATATTGTATAACCAATGAAGTCATCTAATTATGAAACACTATAAAAATGAAATATTTTCTATACGATGAATAATGAGATATTAGTTCTTAGGATAAATGGATGACGTGAAGACGAACAATCCGGTTGATACCATTTATAAAATAATACAAATCAAGGTGGATTAAATGTGTAACCATATAAAAAGTAATCTAGATCAAAAGTGTGAATAATTTAGACTTCACAGAGATAACAATCAAAAACTATCCGGAGATTTATTCATTTTAAAATTAGTTCTTTTTTCTAAATGACATCAAATGAAGTATTACCATGGAGTACTAAATGGTTATTTCATTGTCATTCTGAACTCTTTTGTAGCGTACACTATCATCCCTTCCATATCCATAAAAGGGTACTCATTAATGATATTGCATATGATTTTTTCCATATTACGGATTGACTGAAATAAAGGAATGTGAACTTTGTATTAAAGTCTAGGAGCTTAGTGAAATCATACTTATCATACAACTCAAAGCTCCTAACATTTATAACGTAAAATATTTATCAATAGTTAGTCTTTAAATAAATAATATAAATGTTCCATTGAAGAACCTAACATATTATTATTTCTCTTTCTTTTAGTTAATATTTCGCAAAATATCTGATGTCCGAAGAGAACAAGAATTAAATGAATTAAGACGAAGTCAGCCTCCAATATCAAGTTTAGCACCAGACCATCCGGTAAGACGATTAATATCCCGGTTTTGCAATGCAGCTACATCAAATTTAAGCCGTTCTAGTTCATTCAGTTCAAATGAACCCCGAGAAAGTGGAAAAACAAGTGGAAAATCAAATGATACATCGTTGAGTGCTACAGTGAGTCAAAAATCCATATAATTCATTGTTAAAATATTTAATGTATAAAACATTTCGTATAAAACCAATTTAAAGTTGGTAACTTTAAATACCTATACAAAAGAAGTTTGTAATAGTGAAGTCTTGTTTGGCATCAGGATATTTATCAGTTAGATGACACTAACCATTGTGGTTACTTTTTCACACAAATATACCATTCGTTATGAAATTTTAGATAAGTTTATAGAGGCTTAGAATTACATAACCATGTATAAGTTAATCTTTCATCAGGGTTGTTAAACCTTATGTCCTTGAGATAGTGGAGAAGATTTGTAGCTCAGATGGATGATTTTGATGAAGTTGTGTTCTCTGAGCTGGATGGATGAAAGCTTCAAGACTAAACCATCCAGCTCAGAGAACAAAACTCCATCAAAACCTTATGTCCATAATCCACGAAAAATGTAATAACACTTCGGGAGAATGAGTTGAATAATACCTTATCATCATTAACTGATTTTATATTCATTGAGTTGTTAATCAATAATATTGGATACAATAGTGTCAAGGTTAAAAAAAGGAAAGTAATGCTTTCTTCAATAATCTGTAAAACATTCTAATACTGTTTTTCGTCTTTTAAAATAAACCCGATCGCTAACAGGTTTTCATACTTTTGTCGAATAGATTTGTATTATAATAGAAGTTTTTAAGCTCAGAGATTGTATACAGTAATTTTTGTCGAAAAATATTGATTATTGAACAAATCAAGTTTATATATATATATATAATAGCATTCTAAACGATTCAATTTATGTCATTATAAAATTGGAAATGTATGCTGAATCTTCACATTCAACTTAACAAATTGCTTTATCTAAGATGTCAAAAATGATGAGATTGATTCTATTTTATTCTATGTCTACAACTAATATAATTCAATCATGAGAATTGAATAAACGGTCTACTGTGTGATCTTCAACATTTTGAATGTAAGAAAGGATCAGATAGAAATAGATTATTTTAAAATCTTACTTTATGCCCATGATAAAAGTTGTTTATCCGTATGAGATTGCGGAGATCCCGGGATCGAATCCCGCGTACGAGATCGTGAATACACACTGTTGAGGAGTCCTATCCTGGGATAAAACGGCTGTCCAGTGCTCCCAGCTTTTCAAAAATGCTCTAAAATTGATCAGTTCATGATGTTAATCAAAAACATTTATCATTGGATTTTATAAACACTTCACAACACGTTCACAACAAATGAATTATAAATGTTTCATTAGGCTATTAGAATGACCCAAGCAAAATTAGTTCATGAGATGGTGGAGAAGATTTGTAGCTCAGGTGGACGATTTTGGTGGAGTTTTATTCTCTGAGCTGGAGAGAACAAAACTCCACCAAAATTAGTTCATTTCACCTGGTTCATTGATTGATTAAAATATATCGAAATGAACATTTTAATTATTTTGAAAATGTATGGGTTTATACTTCGAATCTCTGAAATATATTTTATGATAAATTGATTAAACATAATGAAAATTTCAATAGTTGAAATCATGAGTCAATTGAAGCTAGATCACCATGGAAAACGTGGAAGAATTGGATGGCCGTTTCGTCCTAGTATGGGACTTCCAAACAGTGCGCATCCACGACCTCGTCCCCTGCGAAATTCTAACCCAGGACCTATCAGTTTCGCGCTCGAGCGCTTAATCATTAGACCACTGAACTGGCCGGCATCCAATGGTGTTAATGTCTAACTTCAACCAATTCAAACGCGGGGGGCGTGATCGTGAATGCGCATTGCTGAGGAGTCCCATACTAGGTCGGAACGGCCGTCCAGTGCGGTCTACCTCTAATTGACTCATGATTTCAACTATTGAAATTCATAGAATGATTATTATTTAGTAGGAATCATTTCGTATCACTATGCAAACAATCTATAAGAATAAATTAGGTATATTCATTTTATAATAGAGGAGGAAATAAAACATAAAAATGAGCAAAATAAGAAGAGATTTATTCATTTCATAAAAAAACGAAATTAAATTAAATTTAAAAAATAAATTTAAGAAATCCGTCTTTTTTTAATGCAAATTCCTAGAGGAAATATTCACTTATTATTTAATTAGTTTAAATGAAATCACAGTATTTATAATTGAATCATGTTTCTTCTTTATTGAAAGAAACCTAATATATTTAGCCTAAAAGTCCCTTAGTGCTATTCTATTCCATTTTGAAATCAAATGAAGAGTCTTAAAAATTTGAGACATTTTAGAGGTTGCTCTCTAGTTTGAGACTTTTCATAGATACACATACACACACAAGAGGAGGGTTCAGTTTAGATCGAGAATTGAATAAATTTAGAACTGTTGGTTATTGAATCTGAACTCACTGGCTGAATGAATATTGATCGAAGGCTTGGAAAATACGTTTCCAATCAAATAGGTTTTAGATTTAGATACCGATCTGTCTGCTTTGTATTTAGAAGTCCCCTACTATCACTAGCGTCATATAAATAGAATGGCTTACAAACGAGTGAATAAGCATTATTTAAATGGAGTAAACTGTTCAAAAACCTATCGTGATTACAACTAGGCAAGATAGTCCTGAATTTTTGTTTATGTACACTAATTAGCAGCCCTAAACTAGTATGAAATGGTTGTTCTATAATCCGTTGTTTTCAATAGCTTTTCAGTTAATATCAGCTTTGGATAAAAACGAAAATTAATCCACCGTTTCATAACAAATCATTTCTTTTATTATATTAAAATGTTTTCTTAATTAATGGACCCATAAAACAGATAAATTACAAATGAAAATCACTTCTCTACAAGTTATCTTATCATTTGTGGATGTTTGCGATTATGTACATGTATATATGGAAAAATGTAAAAAGCTCAATAGTTTTGTTTTTTAATCAGTTCTGTTTTGAAACAAAACTATTGTGATTTGAATAGAAAAATTAATCATAAATCTTCGATATCATCAATAGCTAACAAACAAAATTAGTTACGCATTTTCAGTTCTCATAACCCCGTGAAAATTAGAAATGCACACCCTAAATCACTCTGGTGGATATGGAGGATTCATCTAGAAAAGTTGGAAAACCCTGAATCCAAACCAATGGTCACATGGGCTCCAGGATCCTAAGGGAACAAATTGCGTATGAACCAATTGTTGGTTACCAGCTACCATGAGACTGCATGTCCTGACAAATCAAGTTGATTTGTGTGGCGCATATGTATTCGGTGCCCCTCTGTACCAATATTTATGTGTTCAAATAAATAATCACTTTGAATAATTTTAACTAATCTTATTAAAATATTATGAAACTTGAAAATGCAACAAATTAGCAATAATAAATATATTTTTGTTGTATCCCAATGAGTAGGAAAATTATATTTCCGACGTTTCGTGACTTAGTGTAAGACTCTTCGTCAGAGTTAATAAAGTTTTGCAAATTTATTCTCATAATATTATAACATACATGGAAAAGCAATCAAATGTACATAATAATTAAGGAATTTTCATCATCATCTTATGACATTACTTCTTCATAAAATGAAATGAGATTACTTCTCTTACTGGAAAATAATATCGCTAGACTTATTTACATAACTCGATATTAATAATTTAGGCCGAACAAAATATTTAAAGCAGGTAAATGAGTTGGTAAAATCATGATAAAAATTAGATTCTTTAGTCAAAGTGAAATGGGAGATTAGAGTTGATGGAAGTGAATGAGTGATCTTATATTTGTCTCTTCATCTTCTAAATTTATATATGTATATAAGCAATTGAAATAATCAATTAGAAAAGGATAACACTGCAAGTCCAATGAAATCTCCATATATATATATATATATATATATATATATATATATATATATATAACTGAAAGGTAGGAAAACCTAAGAGTAATATTTTTACAGAAGAATTGATGAAGTATTGTTAAAAGCAGCACAATTTATTGTTAAAATTTGAGTTCAGAAACTTACTGACAGCAGGAAATATCTGTAAGACAGAAATTTAAGACATCATGTACATCAGTTTGGAAAATTCATTACAATTAAGTAGTGAGTAGTTTGTCTAGTCCTTGATATTGGTCGGATGTTGTCGATCAAGTTGTACTGTAGCTACTAGTTTGGGTAACTCGACATTGTGAACACTATGTTGTGATGGCCGCAGGTAGTCAACAGGAAACTAAACTAAAGGCTTCATGATGGTTGACACGCTTCAGTAAGACATACCTTCAATTTTGAGGAAACCGATCTTCAGTCTTTATTAATACAGCTCAATCATCACTACATGTCTAAATAAACGCGACTTGGTCACTACCCAGTGGTTAGTCAATTGTAAGTATCTCAGTCCTCGAGGAAGTCCGTTGTAAACTAAATATCTTAGTGGTCATTTTCCGGATTGTGAAGCTGAATGATGTGGGTTTCAATCCAAAAGCGAATATGCCTTCCTTAAAGACAGATACACTTTATTGACGGGTGCAAACTAGCACGAAACAGGTTTAGAGTCTCCTATCAACTACCTTCAACCACCTAACATCTTGAACTTCACTGATAAATAAATTGTATCGTAACATTATCTCATTTAATTTATTGGAAGCGTTGTATTTATTCGATTAGAATACGTAGTGACTAATTTACATAAAACTAAATGTATTTTTAGAAATAACTAAATTTATGGTATATAATTGTAATAAGCGGACAAGTAGCCTTTTGTAACCACATATCCTAAAGTATATATGCTCTCGTAAAAAGGGGGATCACGTAAACATATCTATTTGCTTGTAGGTTATTTCCAACTCCATAATAAAACCTTAGATTAAACATTTGAAAAAATAACCCATTACATTAATCTCTAGTCTAATGTTTTTCGTAAGTCAATTTTTTTTAAATGTTCATGATACCAAATATTCATAGTTGAATAACTATCCTTCTTAACTCTTTAAAATAAACAATATCACATTAATTAATTTTCAGAATCCTATACCAGAAACTACATCATCAGAATGTGTTCCAAGTTTAACAAAGCCAAAATTAAGTTGGAGTCGACTTCTTGATGTACCTAAAACAACATTATCAACACAAACCACAATAAAAATAACAACTACAACTACAATGGCAACAACAACAACAACACTAACAACCAATACTCATCAATCTATTACAATAAATAATGAAACTATAAAACAAACAAAACAACATGATGATAAAATTCAATTATCAACTAAGTATTCTAATGCATTCATTATAAATAAATTAAATAATCAAGATATCATTGAAGGTGAACAAGAAAAATTTCATAAAACTATTATGCAACATATTGAATTATTAAGGAATAATTTTTTAACAAATATACGTACTTTATCAAGTCGAATAGATTTAATTGATCAAAGAATAACACGTATAACACAATTTATTAACCATCATCATCATAATAATAATCAAGAAATGAAAAGTTTGTAAAAAAAAATAATTTTTATGCATAATTAAAAGTGAAATTTTAAAATTGTTATAAGTACTACTTATATACTACCACTAATAATAATAATGACAGCAGTATGTAACGATATACTACTGAGTGAAAGAAATTTAAAACAGATTACTCTTATTCATCTCTATATATAATTTATTTTAATAAATAAATGTTTAGGGGATTTACTTATAAAGTTTGCTTATTTTCTTTATTTCAGTAGTATGTTAAATGTGTTACAAGATTTATAGGAAATCACAGTTAGTAGAATTTAATTCTATCCACAAAAATATGATTTCTTTACAATGTAACCAACTATTACACTCTAATATTATACTATATACACGTGTTTAATTTTAAAAGAAATATCTATTGGCCATACCACCATAAGGTAAATTACTTACTTACTTACTTACGCCTGTTACTTCCAATGGAGCATAGGCCGCCGACCAGCGTTCTCCAACCCACTCTGTGCTGGACCTTCCTTTCCAGTTCTGTTCAATATTTGTTTATTTTTCTCATGTCTCTCTCAGTTTCTCGGCCTAATGTGTTCTTTGGTCTCCCTCTTCTCCTTTGGCCTTGAGGATTTCATGTGAGGCCTTGCCTTGTGGCGCCCCGGCCTGGAGCCCCTCAGGAGCTGCCGCCGGTCCCAAACCCCGATAAAGGAGGAGGGTTGGGCGTGGGGTTAGTGACCCCATCCCATAGAAAAATAACTCGCTAAAAAACGCTAACCGGAAAAATTATTCATACCATAATGTAAATAGTAACATCGGGATGTGTAAGGGCTGGTATTATGTCAAGCCCACATAGATTATTCTAGCCTCTGGACAGATCAATCTATTCATTCTTCTCAAGCCATATTTTTACCCTATCACTTATTTGCTTATCAACCTTGTCTGTTTTTATGTGAGCGGATGTGTGTGCATTTCTTATCTTACTCATCACATGTCTGTAACTTATTTTTGTGTGACTATAAGTCGAAGTGGCTTACATGCCTTCTCCACCACGCGTCATTTCGTCTCGTTTCTTCGATCGTTTTTATCTAGATCAACGATTATGTGAAATACACGTAGTCAAAATTCACTTTCATATTTGGCTTATTTAATTCCGTTATACACTAACGCGAATTAAGTCGGTGATTATATGAGAGGATTTAATATATGTATATTTCGATAACAGTCATAATACCATCTAACTGGAGTCAGTTATAAGGCCACAAAAATGAAAACATGAATAACCATGAATCAAACGAAACTATATGAATACATGCTATGCCGTTTCGATGCTTATTAACTGTTTATCGTCTACTATAGTTTAATAAATAAAATTACTGTACATTAATATATTTATGAGAATGTTATTGGTGAAAAGTCAATGTAAACATGTGTCATCACTGTGTGGCTAAGATTTAAATAAATTTCTTTTTTCAACTGAATAAAATGTAAATAAATTTTGCACATAAAGGAAAGTTTGTGAACGTCAACTAAGATAGTCGTCAATGCCCAGAGCTGGGATTAAGTTAGTAACGAAATAAAATATGGATTATCAAAATTTAAATAAAATAGGAAAACTTAAGTAAATCATTAAAACAAAAAATATAATAACCCCAATCACGACAGTAAGGAAAGATTGCTGGAGTTTAGATGAGTAAATACATGCCGGCTCAGTGGTCTAGTGGTTAAGCGCTCGCGCGCGAAACTAGTAGGTCCTGGGTTCGAATCTCGCAGGGGGCGAGGTCGTGGATGCGCACTGCTGAGGAGTCCCACAATAGGACTAAACGGCCGTCCAGTGCTTCCAGGTTTTCCATGGTGGTCTAGCTTCAACTGACTCATGATCTTAACCATTGAAATTACTACAATCCTCACAAAACCCATCTGATAATAATCAAATTAACAGAATTGGATTGAAAACGTTAAAGAATGAAGTGATCAAAGACTAGGATAAATCAAAAACTGCTTTCATCAAATAACGGAAAAAATAATTAGTTTTTTATTGAGGCAGAAACAAACTGATAACTATTGCCTTTTATGAATTCATTATTAATATTTTTAGTGTTCACTAGCCTTATGCTTCAGTGAATATTAAGATATAATAGCCTAGATGTTTTTTTTATAATAAACTTGAGAAATCTCAAATATCAACTCGGTGTCCATATCCAAAAAAATCTACTGGAGAACAACATTTATTATTCGGAAATTTAAATACTACAGTTCACAAATTAAGTACATAATTTGTGAATTTTCTCATCCGTTCACCAAAGTATCCGAATTCAGATAACTTTCTAAATCCAGATACATCGATTTATATTTTTCTCAGTCCTTAACAGAAAAATCTTTCTATATGGCGTCTTACATTGATTTTCCACTTTATTAATTTAGTTCATCGAAGAAATGTTCTGTTAATATGAAAAGTCTAAAACATTTTTAATAATAATAATTGATAATAATGTTCAAATTGAACTTAAAATTTATACAAATCGACGAAATATCAAGACCATTTTTAGATCATTATTAGTAAGGGGTTTGATTTATTCCTTTGCTATTATTTGCTGACGTATGTGACATAGATTTAAACCGTTGCAAATAATGATACAAACATTATACCCATTTGACAAACTAGAGAATGTCTAAGTTCAGTAAACCAATGTATAACGCATTGAGTATTTAAAGTGGAAGGCACTACATTCGAGTACTGGTGTGACCATCACCAATGAGGTTCAGGTACATAAAGCTGACCGATTCAATATAGGAAGCAAAAGGCGTCCTATATTCCACCGCTAGTTGCAATTCAACATTTCTATGTATAAGGTTATTTTTACACAAGATCATTATTTATTTGACTTAAGACGATGGCATTTTTATCATTAAAGGAACAGCTATCATTTTGGATATTTTTATGAAAGTCAGAAGAAAACTGGTTCCCTAAAACAACGTAGTAGTTTGATAAGTTAGATAGTTAATACAATATTTAATATTGGAAGCATCTTGAATACAGGAGATTTGATATGTTTAACAAAGGACTGAACAGGCATGATCATTTAGGTTTTAAAATATTAAAATGCTATTGTAAAATAAATAAAAGTGTCCTTTCAGAGGATTGAAAATATATAATTCATTAAGTGTTTACCCGTACTGTCTTTAGCTTCATGTTAACGTTACTCATTATCCATATTACAAAAATGATTGCACATTGGCTAAAGGAATGTAGTATGAGCATAAATTTCCAAGCAGACTGTAAGTAAGCTTCAAAACTAACCAAATTAAATGTGAACAACACTACCGCTACGCGACTAAATATATCGATCCATCAATGCAATTTTTGTATTTGAACACATAAATATTGGTACAAGAGGGCACCAAATATATATGCGCCACACAAAAGAAGGAAACAATGCAATAATTAACTACATTTATTCGCACTATCCATTATCATACTATACTCTCTAGTCTCCATTATTTAAGAACGGGAACAACACTCAGGGTTAAGCATAAATATTTATTCGTTAGAAATCTTTTTGTTTACTATGATTAAAGGTAAGTACGAATAAAGAAATGAGTAATTACATAAAATATCTGAATCCCTTTTATAATCAATCATTAACAACGTAATTTATTTTAGTATTGGTTGTTTGAATCTTCTCATTGATGTTTAGAACTGTAATTGATCAATGAGAAGATTCAAAGAACTAATACAAAAATGAGTTAAACCTAAACCCATTGCATAGGCTAATAATTATCTGGACTCAGTAACTAAGTGGATAACGAGATGGTGTTTGAAGTGAATGGTACTAGATTCGAGTCCCAGAGTGAACATCAACTTTGAGATACAGGTACATTCGGCTAACGACCCCCCAAAATAGGACAAAACTTGCGTCCTAGTTTCCATTGCTAGCCACTATTCATCTCTACTTATTAATAATATAATTTCTAAAGAGCTAAAAATAATTCATGTGAACTATATGGAAATCATAAAATCACAATTTAGAAAGTCTCATTTCAATATAACATTTAAAAAAAAAGAGAAAAGAATTCTTAGTACACAAGGACAGTCCAGAATTAAACAAAAATACGATAAGATTTTCCTAAAACTTAAATTATTTTTATTAATTTTAGTGAATAAAAACCAGATTTTCTCGTGAGAAAAAACAAACAAACAAACACAGTAACCTGAGTATTGTATGTTTGTTTCAAGTTTTATTTGATTGTATGAAGGAAACAGGAAATGTTATGAAAGTTAAATATGGATTGGTATATTAGATTTTAGATTTTCAATAAATAAATAAATAACTTTATTTAATAAAAAAAGAAAGTTTAAAACTTTAACGGAAATGATATTGTGGTTTGTTTTAATATTAATATCTATAATTTCTCTGAATAGAAAGATTAAACTAACAACTAATTACAGTCTATAAACTTTCAAGATTTATGACAAAACTATAGGTAGTTACAATAGTTAACTATATTTAAAATAACAATAATAACGTTATAGGGTCGTTGCTTAGAAAACAAAAAAAAATTTGTTTTGAGAAAAAAAGTAAATTTAATAAACGTACTTTTCACTGATTGAACTCATGAGTCAATTGAAGCTAGACCACAATGAAATATTTGGAAGCACTGGACGGCCGTTTCATCCTAGTATGGGACTCCTCAGCAGTGCGAATCCACGATCCCGCACCTCGTGAGATTCGAACCTAGGACCTATCAGTCTCGCGCCAGGCGTACTTTTAATATACGTGTTTGAAAAATTTATTTTCATGATAAAAGTAACAATTAAGAATGTTTACTAGTTTACTAGAGAAAAAAATTGATGAAACTATAATTTATGGACGACTTTTGAGCAACGCTAAAGTGACCTTGAGAGTGTTCACCTAATAACTAGGACTAAATGAGGATTTATAGTTGATGGTTAACGTTAGGAATTAGATATAGGGCTTTTTTAATCATGAACTGACACCAGCTATAATGCCGAAACGCTATTTAGTCAAATGGATGAGTGAACTTCGCGCCGAAATCCAAGACCTATTATCTTATACCTGATTGGTTCAGCCATAAATGATAGTCTCGTCAAAAAATTAATGAAAATAGGAAGTTCATTAGTATAATCTGTTAAATAAAGAAAAAAAAACAGGATTGATGTTGTTTATTTCCAACAAGGTTAAGTGAGAAATTATCATGCTTGGTTCAAATAATGAAATA